CGCCCATTCAATGCTTTTATAAATACACAGTATTATTAGATGTATTTAATTTATCACAAAGTTGATGTATGTGGACTCGTGTGACGTGTTTATGCTTCAATCCCTCCAATCAGATCAAGAAAAATATAGTTAACACCTTTAAAAACAGAGTTTACCAGTGGAAAAAAATTCCAAAAAACACATTTTCTTCTGGACTAGATCTGCAGCAAATAGAGTAAAGTTTTTTTACGACTTCAAAGCAGTGGTTATGGTCGAGGTCCGAGTGATAGGGAAGGTTTGTTTGGCTTTCTAAAGGTGGTTGAATCCCTGTCCCGACCAAAAGTCAGGAAAATAAAACAATATTTGGCATGCTTTAAGTAAACTTTGTGACCGTATCTTTGGAAAACATCACGCATCTCATGTATTTCTAATCCCTTTAGTTCTTCTTTTGCGATTCATGCAGAGATATCTGAAACTTCAACATCGTCATAACTCAGATTTTCACCATCAAGGTTGTTTATCACATACCGTGCCACCCAAGAAGGCACGTCTCCTGCCATATGCGTGGGGGGGCTCGACGTTCGTGCTTTATTTTTTCATTCAATATTTTAGATTCAATCACGATGTGCAAATTATATTCCCATCAAACTGTGTGTAATTTACTGCGGCTCAGCTGAACACACTGCGGTGCTGCACTCTGTCCTAAAGTTTAATGTTTCTGACAGCGAGGCTCCCATTTGCAATAACTTTCAAAATGTTTATACATGACCTTAAATGTTATTCTTCACTTCAGTATCAGGTACCAAACTAATCTGTATGTACATCCTGTCTTTGCGATCCTTGATCCAAAATAAATACTTGGACGATTATTAAGGAAGACTCTGATGGAGAAGATTTAGGTTACTTAATTAAAGACATGGTCGATTGAATTAAAATATGAATGGAAAGAGTTAGTGTGTGCTCTGTGATACTCAGTGTGTTTGCAGCATCTGAATAGCCTCTCCCTAAGGATTCTGTAACATGCGCTGCAACTCAAGAGGCATGTTCTTGTTTTAGACAGCAAATATTTACAAAGCAGCCAGCCAAGGAAAATGTCTCACTGCACAAAAATAAGGTAGGTGGCAAAGACTTGTGGAAATGCTGTTGTGCTGTGGAATTTGGGGATTGTTTGTCTTTCATGTTTGACATTTTATTCGCTTTTTTTTCTCTGTATAAACCATAAATAAATTAAAACTTAAAATACATGAAGCAGGGTGAAGAGACTGTAGCAAAGTAGAAACAGATTGGCAGTATTCTTTATGGTATTTTATAATTATGGAGAATTATGAAAATTGAGCTTTAATGTGTTATCTCAGGCTCATAGTGTGTCTCATATCAGTGAAAACTACATATTTGCTACTTCACCTTTTGGATTTTTCTGTTGCTGTATGAATTCCTATAACCACACACAAAAAAAAAAACTTTAACCTTTACTACACCAAAGCAAAGTGATTTTATCTCCTGTTTTGCAACATCAGGTGATCATTTAACTGTAAAAAAAAAAATATTTGACTCCTTGCTCTACTCAACTCTTAAATCTCTTTGAGTGCTGGTTTAGCTCAGACATCAAATTCCTCACAACTTTTGCAGAAGCCACAGTCCTCTCAGCAGTCAGGCAGGTCCACATTCAACCATGTCCTGTCTGTTGTCACGATAGCAGAGTTTTAACCTCGAATAAGGTCAATACCTGTTTTGTTACCATAGCAAGAGAAACTTAAAGGAGGAACTTAAAGCTGGCTATCAAACGGACTGAAACTGATATTGATGCAACGACTTGATAAACTGCATCCTGCTGAAACTTTCCACTTCGAAGATCTTGATAAGTGACTTGATACTGATAGAAAGACGGAGACATTTTTAGTTTAAAAAAAAAAAAAAAAAGCTATCTACATGCACAGTGCAGAGCCAGCCAGCATGGACTGTTTGTCCACAGGGGGCGCCAAAGTCACTGGAAACTGTTCATCATAGGAGCTGTAAATCTCGAGCACTATCCCCCTCTGTAAACAATGCTGATTCACCGAGTCATTACACAGAAACCAACTTTTGACACACTGATAAATAACGTCTCGTTTTCTGTTTCACCACTTTGTTTTCGTTAGCAGTGATGTCTCTTCATTTTGTGTCTTTGTAACTTGACACCTCCTGCTCTCGCTCTTTTGCTTTTTGCAGATTTGAGTTGTAAATAAGGCTGTAGATGCTTGTGGACTTTTTTTTTTTTTTTTTTTTACATATCATCCTAAAACCAAATCCAACAGGGGTAAAAGTTGCTTTATCTGTGATATTAAGGGAACTAAAAACAAACATATAGTGTGAATCATCCGCTGTTCACCGTTGTTGTGTAATAAAGGAGGTTGTATGTGTTAAAAAAAATTACATCTTGAAATTCCTTGCGCATTAAAACGAAATGACTTACAGGAACACCCAAATGTCTAAGGAATAATTTAAATGCACTGCCTCTGTAAGCGTTTATTAAGTAGTGAGAGTTATTCACCTAATTAAAAGGCAGATCTGATTGGCAGCAGTAAATCATGAGAAGACAACTTCAGGCTCTTTTTTTCTTTCTCTTTGCTGCTTAGTCATACTTGCCTAATGGCTAACGTCGACCTTAATGCAAATTTGAAGCGCTCTCCAACCTGACTGAACTCCCCGCTTCATTCCTCACATTCCCCGTCTTCTGTACGAACACCCCGTCTGTGTTTTTGATCTGTTGAAACAAACACCTCTGATGGCTGATCAAAGACGGGCCGTGACGCGCGAGGGCGTGTGCCACGAGTGTGCGTGTGTGGGAATCTGTGCGTGTGTGTGATGATTCACGTAAGGTTGCTGTGAGCTGCCCGCGCCGCTCTTCGCAGTGCCAAGTTATTCTTGCAGGGAGTTTGTGTTTTTGCATGTGTGTGTGTGAGTCTCTAAGTGTTGGCGAGGCATTTCTTTCATAGAGAAGACAGGGGGCCATTATTTATGACCTTTTACAGGAATCAGGACGTAAGTTGTTCCTGAGAACCTGCGAAAGCTCTGAAAAATGTTTGTGTACACAAGCAGTTTTTGAGAGTTGATCGACCCCCCAATTTAACAAAAAATACTAGACAAAATTATATCACTTTTTAGATTAGGGCTAGGCAATATGGCCTCAAATCAATATCCCGATATATTGAGCAGTTCACCTTGATAACGATAAATGGACGATAACTACTCCACAACCTGCTCACCCCCACCCACATTAACTTTGTCTACTTCAACCGTTACAACTTTTGAACTGTCCTCCATCTCCTCAGCTGTCTTTCCCTCTTTGTTACAGACTGGATGGGGTGGAGTCATGTCTCTGATGTAGGACAGCGTCTTAAAGGGACATGAGACCATAGCCTACCTACGCACATCCAAAACCAAATTTTATTAATTTATTTTTGTGACACCAAATATACCGATATGGGCAAAATGATGTTGGTTATCGTAAATTTCGGTAGCAGTAAATTTTCAGTTTATCGCCCAGCCCTACTTTAGATGCAAATAGAGGAAAATGTACTGGACTTGGATAAGCTCAAAGGCACCTGTTTATTTAACAAGTAAAATGGAATAATGCTGCAACAGTGAAAATTGTTAGTCTGGTTGTACACAACCTTACTTTACAACCCTAATTCCAAAAGGGATGAATATTACCAGGTGTAAATATTCATAAATAAAGATCTCCATTTTCATCAGTCCATCTTATAAGAGCTTGAGCTCAGAAAAGTCTTTTCTGGACCACGGTTAAGTATGGTGTCCTTACCTATCCTGGTATTTTAAGCCCCATGTGGAGACTCCCACTACAGAGTCATGTCTGTTTTTAATGCAGTGCTGCCTAAGAGCCTGAAGATCATGTCAACTGTTATCGGCCTTCCCTTTTTTTTTTTTTTCTTTCTTTTTTTTGTACGAAGATTCTCCAGATTCTCTGACTTTAATTTTTTTTTGCAATTTCACACTCAGGAACATTTTTCTGGAATTGCTAAACTAATTCTTCACCCCGTCTCTCACAGATCACTGTGAACCCCTTTCCCTCTTCACATCTGAGAGACCCAAGTCATGTCACTGACTTGTTGCAAATCAACATAATTAGTTTGGAGATGTTCCTCCTGGTGCCTTTTTTTAGCATTTCACAACTTTTTCATGATTTTGTTCACCCCGATCCAAATTTTTTAAAGCACGTTGCTGGCATAAGATTGAAAATTTAAAAGTTGAAACACCTGACTTGTTGTCTTCTGCTTTTTTCAATTACATAAAGGTTGTAAATGATTTGCAAACAACAAAATCTGTTTTTATGAACATTTACATCATTTCTCGACTCTTTTGGAATCGGGGTTAACATATTTTTCTAAGTGTTCTGGTACCAAATTGGTACGCTGTATTCAGCAAAACTAGATTTTTAGTACCAGCATTTGTCTGAGGAAGGATAAATCTGCATCAGAACATCTTTGGCAAAAACAATAACATCATCGAGACTGTTTTTGACGCAGCAAGTGTGAAATAGGAAATATACACACAGAGAAAAGACAAAAAAACTTCAGTCTGCAGAAGTGACACTGAAGCTGCACACTCCTCTGTAAATAAGCAGTTTCACACCACCTCCGCTTTCTCCAGCCGTTCTGTCTCTCTCTTTCTCTCTGCTGCACATGCAAACACAGACAAACACACACACACACTTACACACCCAGTCTCACACTGCTACTCAGCCAGCCAGCCAGCCTTTCGCTCCTCACTCACACCCTCAAATCTTACCAAACTCAGCTCTCCCTGCTCAGAGGCAGACAGGAGCAGCACAGCAGCCTGTGAGAGGAGTTTAGGGAAGGAGCAGAGAGAGAGAGAGAGAGAGAGAGAGAGAAAGGGAGGGAGAGGAGAGCAGAGAGAGCGCTGTTCCCCATATGCTGAGGAGAGGAGGCATGGGCGGTTGAACAGGCTGCCCCCACTGAAGCCCTCCTGACTCATGGGAGAGTCAGAGCCTGATCCCCCAGAGAGGCTGGAAACACTGCCGAACCACGCGTAAGAGAGAGAGAGAGAGAGAGAGAGACAGAGAGAGGGAGCAGGAGGGGAGCCAGAGAGAAGAGAAAAAAGTCAAGAGGAGAGAGGAGGAAGAGGAGAGGAGAGGGAAGAAAGCCACAACGGTAGGCTGTCCCACTCGACTGCTGTGCCGGGATGACGTCAGAGGTCATGTGACCCAGGCTTCTCCAGTGACGGCACATGGAGGGCAGGAAAGAGACGAGTTTTAAAGCTGGTGCCTTTTGGGTTGTGTGAGGGCTCTGCTCGCCTCCCAAACAACCACAGAACCACAGACGTGCGGCTCGGGGTTGGTGTTTGAGGGCGACCCGGAGTGTAAATGGTTAATCGTCGCGGGCCAGCACCAGTCACAGGGACGGCGCTAAGCGAGTAAGTACGTTCCAACCACACTCGCCAAGCAAGCAAGTCCGACACCATCTGATCTATCCGCAAAGGCGATATTTGCCTCTGCAATTTTTTTCTCTATAAAACCAGACCTGGTTGTTACTTGTGGTCATCTGAATAGTTGATACGTAAAAAGCATGTCTTGTGGATGGCTTTTTCCATTTTTTTTCTTCATGACACGCTGCTCGCTCTTGGTTTAGGACGAGTCAAGGGTCACGGAAACCACAGAGGAACAAAAGTGGGGCTTGCTGCGACCAGAGGCAGCTATGGCATCTAACAGCCTTTTCAGCACAGTGACACCATGTCAACAGAACTTCTTCTGGGGTGAGTACTCGCTTTGTGGGTGCTGTTGTGTCTGGAGTTGGGTTGGGGGGGATCGGGTCACGGGGAGGACTCGGGGTCAGGTGTTGAGGTTTTGGATTGGGGTATTAAGAGGGTTTGGGTAAGGGGGTAAGTTTCTTGGATGGGATTGAAGGATTTGGGTCCAGATGAGTGGAGGGGATCAGCTGAGGTCATCGAAGACCCGGCTATCCATGTCCAAGCTTTTTGTGGTGGAGGAAAGACCCAACAATCATCAAGGCTTTTTGCGGTGCGCGAAGACACACAGAAAAATAAAAAACCCCTCTGTGCATTTAGCGAATCCAGTATTTACCCGACATGATGTTTATAAATATTTCTGAAAGAGGGAGATGACATGTTTGTGCAACATACCCTCAGATTTACAAAGCGATGCCATTGCGGAACCAAAAACAAAAGCATGGGTGATATTTTTGACAAACGTAAACAGACGCTGCACAAGAGAGTTTACAGTCGAGCATTGAAACAAGATGTGGGGATTACCGGATTGTGAGTGTGTTGGGTGTCTACATTGTGCATAAGGAAGAGGTATTGATTAGTCTGCCAAGGAAGGTCTGTAATCACTTCCTGAAATTGTTCGGTTGCGCTGCTGTCATTAATTAATCGGTGTTGATTTCTGCAGCCTCGAGGGAGCCTTTAATCCACTGACATAAATCCACTTTGAACAAGAAGTTGCTCCATGTCAGCTCCCATTAGAGGAACTGGAAAACCCGAATGGGGGGGAATAAATAAAAACATAACACAATCGATTTACACGGACTTATTGTTGAGCGCTAATTCGATAAAAGATAAAATATATACTCCTCCTCCAAAGAATCCCACTACAACAGATGTAGATTCAACCTATTCTTTTTGTTTTTCTAATGTTTTATAATGAGAGTCTGTCTGATTTGTTTCTGCAAAGTGCATCTTTAGGCAACAAGACCAGCGAACAGTAGCAGAGTCAACTTTATGGATTTCAATCACCTGTGAAGGCCAACTTTCATGCTCCAGTTTGCGGCCTCTGTTTTCAGTTTCCTTACACAAACTTATTTAACCAACAATATAAATAATCTTTAGTTTTACCAGATGAGTTTTATAATTTAAACAAACAATTCCTCTCCCGTGCGACATAAGAAAAAAGACAGGCTGACTTTAATAGCTGCCTCCCCTCCACCCCCTTCCTCCTCCTCCTCCTCTCCTCGCTCCGGTCCATAGCTTGCGCTTCTCTGTCCAAATCAAATGTTTAAAAGATGTTTTTAAGAAGTCGCTCCGTGGTCAGATACAGCTGTTCTGGGCTCGGGCTCCGCACAGAAGCAGGGTGGCTTTCCTAATGCGCTCTGAAAGCTGGAGAGAGCGCGAGCGTCCTCAACCAATCACCACCACCTATTACCACGTTAACCCCTGACCTCTCAGCGTGTCTCTGGGGTCGCAGCGAAAGGAGGAGAGGGGTTGAAGAGAAGAGGAGAGGAGAAGAGCAGCGCTGCGGGGAAATTGAAAGCATGCTGTTGTAGACAGAGACAGGCAGAGAGGAGCAGATGTGTACAGATGTTCAGGTGGAGTGACTCAGAGAAGATAATCGCTGATAGATTCTCGTAAAAAGGTATTTTTGCTCCATATAGTGCTGCCGCTCATTGAAGTCGCTCCTGTTTATGATTATCTGAGCTGTAAATCTGTCAGTACAACCACAAAAAGTCCCCCCTGACAGCGCAATGTGATTTTGCAAGACCACCAGTGATTTCTGTTGTATTTAAAATTCACAACAAATAAATGTAGTGTGCTGTAACGTATCAGAACGGGCAAAAATCCGGATTAGGATTGTAAACATTTTTGTTTTCTCTGACAAAAGTAGATCTGAGTTTGAGTGATGTTGATGCTGATGAATAAGGGTGACTTTTTAGATTTAATTTCCTACATAAAACATTCATTTATTTCCATAAATCTTGATTTGAAGATAATTCGTCCTCTCCTGACAACCTCGATCCGTTCGCAGAACAAAAACTCCGCTCCAGTTTAGCCTCCTTGTTGATTTTATGTTTTTTTCTCAAACTTCTCCTGCTCTCCCATGTTTCTCCTGGATCGTTTTGTCCGGCGTCAGCCAGTTTTTTCCCTGTGAACACAAGTTACAAAATATTGTTGTGTTAGTTAGAAAGCCACATTACTCCATCCTCGTCTGTCAGCTTGTATTTAAGGACATTTTTAATTTAGCCTGAGCGTTTCATCCCCCAGTGATAAATTGAGCCGACTTGTGGGAGTGGGCGCTTATTCTAAATTGAAAAAAAAAGGGTCTCATTAAAATTTGTCTTGGCATTTACATCAAGCAGTTTCATTTAATTGCCTCAAATACATTTTTTTTTATAACTCCTCCTCAGACTGGCAGATCAGATGAGGATCCGAATCAACACGATCAAAAGAGAAAACAGGGCGATTTGGATAAATATCTGAGGACTCCGGGGCGGAAAAACTTTCCCCAAAAGAAAATCTCCGACAATTTGCAGAGGGGAAACCGTATATGTATTCGAGAAAGGCAGCTTCTGTTGCATAAGTGTTGCTTTAGATCTAACCACAGGGCCTGCTTCTTGGAGACATCTTAAAAGTGAACCAGACATCCCACCCTCCTCCTCCTCCTCCTCCTCCTCCCCCCTACGGCCGAGGAGAGACGTGAAGCCCACTCATCAATAGGTAATTTGAAAGAGCCCGGGGGGGAAAATGTGAGCGCTTCACTGGCTGCTACTGTGCAGAGAAGACTCTTCCTCTTAACTCCCGGCTCAAAGGAACTCTATTTAGCGATGCTTAATTGTACCTCTGAGGCAAACATGTTATTTAATCCCAGCAGGGTCATACTGATGGAGTAAAGCCGTGTTGTGCGAGTGTTTGCGCCCCACGCCAGCTATTAGGACTTATTAGCGCTTGAGGTTAACATAAGTCTGCGTAATCCTCTGGGTAATCATTGGAGGCGCTGTCTTAATGTGATCACTGTTTAATCAAAGGTAGATTAATTGGTTTGTGTTTTCTTTCTTATGCGCTAACAGTGAAAGGTTGCCTGATTATAACCTCAAAGAGGCTGTAGGCAGTTATTAAGGTCCAAATGAGAGTGTCATGGGAACGCTATAACCTGTGATTTAACGGTCTTGAAATCTGTCTTTCCCACTCAGTCCCTAATGTGAAAGATGAGGGGAAAGTTGTCTGTGTTTTTCTTCTAATTTGTAGAGGGTCAAAGAGTCTATTTTTAGCCACGATTTCTACTTTGATGCTAAAAGAAAGAAAACTGCTGACTTTTTCCTCATTTTTCGACGTCTCCTGAACAATATCTGCTTCTCCTCCTTCGAGTTGTTGCAAGGAGAAGTTATTTAAACATAGCAGAGAAGGGCTTCAGTGCAAGATTACGTTCACTCCTGTAATACGCAGACTGCAACAACAAACGGAGTGTTCAGTGCAAATACTCACAAGGCACCGTGTGTGTATTATCCCATCTTTTATCCCTTTATTCAGTAGCTTGGGGGCTAATTACACTATTATGATAAGGCAACCTGCCAATTGACTGTGCTTACTGCAGGTTTCTGTCTACTTACAGTGTTGATAATAGACTCAAGAACAATCGCCTTGTATGTTTAACACTCTGACTGCTACGTCTCTGCTCTCCCCCTCTCATAAATCAACGCAAATGTCTCATATCTTCGCGTGTTTACTCTACAAGTACGCCAAATTGGTGTGTGTTTTTTGGACAGCGCCGCCGACTCGCGCCACAGTATGCATAGCTCTGAGTCTCGAACGCGCCATAATTACCAGGTAGCTTAATGCCGTTGCGTTTTGCCAGGCGAAGCTTTTAATGCAGCGCTGTGCTGCTTTTCACACTTAAACAAGATCCCTTCATCCATTTCGGTTGCATCATGCTGGGCGAATTACCGTTATCCGATATAAGCCCTCAGAGAGGAAGTAACTACCTAACACTTAGAAAATTGGTCTATCTTGGAAGCGGTTCACCCTAATGAAACAGAACACCAGTATTGTAACCCTGATTCATATACCTCCTTCGCTCTTTTCCTGTCCTCTCCTCTCTCCTCCATCATTCACTTGCGTTTCACTTTACTGATTTAAAGTCAGAAACGTACCACGACATTGTTTAGCCCTCACTTTTCTCAGTCACGGCGCATGTTGGGGGGGAAATATGGAGTGTTGAGGCTCCTGGATGTTTGGGTTCAGCCCCGTAACGACGTGAGTGTGAGCGCGGCCACATCACCTACACAAGGCCTTACCTGTTCTGCCGCCCCCCAACCCTGGAGAAAAGGGCAGGTTTTCCCCCCTTGTTAGTTTAATCTTAAAGGAATGCGGTATCCCCTCTGACTCAGGCCAAACTCCTGAATACATAAACCTACTTAGCAGCAGGTCAGGAAAAGAGCAGCACGGGGTTGGACGTGTTAGCCGTATTTTTAAAAGGCAGGTCTGATTATTTATACGAGGTAACACAAGCTGTAAATCCCCCTGACATAAAAGGGCAGAAAGTGCGAGGAGAAGGTGCAATAAGATGAGCGAACGAGCTTCAAAGAGTTAAAGTGCGCTGCCACTGTGATCAATAGCTTGGCAGCAGTTTAGAGGAGCCGTCTGAGGAGATAAGTGCTCTTTGTTACAACCTGTTTCAGACGTTTCTCAACAGTCGTGTACGTTTGTCACCAAGAAAACTTGAAAGTTTTGCACATAGAAACACCTCAAGGTAATCACATTTGGGTTTTTAGCTGCTTTGGTGCAGGTAAAGCGGAGTAAACAGGGCGTGCTTGTAGAGCAGTGTTTGTCTGAGTGCGTAAAGGTGTCTGTGACAGGAAGATCTGTCCGCTTGATTAATGCTCTCACTCAAACTGGCACCTGGAACCAATCCCTCCAGCTCCTGCCGCCCCCATCTCATGTGCATGTGTGTGTGTGCGCATGCATTCCTCACTCTGCGCCTTCAGAGGGGCTACGAGTGGGTGTCGAGCAAGGAGGCGCAGATGGGACCAGAGGACCCGGAGCGGAAGAAAAGAAAGGTGTGTGCAGCAGAGGGAACAATAGCTCGGACGTACAGTGGAGGGTATGGGGTGTCATTAATAACACACAGGCCCCATCTCCTAATTTGCTCAAATTACCTGCCCACACATCGGGCCCCCTGCCAGCGCCGAGGTGTGAACACAGCAGATCAAATACACCTGAAAATCAAAGTGCCCACCCACTCGGCGACGCCCACACCGGCCTTTTATGGTGGTCCGACAGCTCTTGGAGCCTGTGTGAGAGTAAGGGAGAAAAGGGGGTCCAACTTTGCTCTTTTATGTGAGAGCGAGGGGCATCATGCGAGAGAATTAGAGAGTAAAAGAGAAACATTAAAAAGGAGGAAGAGGAGAGAAGAGGGAGCGAGACAGAGTCAGAGATATGATACAAAAGGAGGGATCAGTTTGCACTCTCTAGACCGACTCTTTCAAACCACCTCCCATATGGCACCGCGGGGGCGGCAGTTTACCATCAACCACCCTCCTCTTCTATCCTTCCCTTCCTTCTTTTCCTTCTCCCTTATGTCCTCCATCCCTCCATCCTTCCCCTCCCACCCACGCTTCCAGGAAGAAGGCGATGACAAACATGACAAGGCGGCGATGCTTTGGTCACCGCAATATTCAGAACGGAGTCATCAGCACAAGCACCACCTGTGACGAACACACAAACACATGAGCGTGCGTGTGTGTGTTTAGAGTGTGTGTGGACGCTGAAACGAAATATGCCCTAGAGACACAAAAGGAACCAGGGGACTGTGTGTAGGTGTGTGCAGTGGGATGCTAGTCTTTGAACTTTGATATTGACAAGTCTCCGGGGAGGAGGAGGAAGCTAAAAATGTTAGAGCTCATTTGTGAAGTGGCCTCGAGAAAGAGAGAAAGAGAGAGAGAGATTAAACTTTGGTGGTACATCAACCGCTTCTTAAGCACCAAGTATCCGGACATTTCAAGTGTTCATTAATGTATTTGTTATCAATTAAAACCCTTCCTATGAGCATTTGTATAATCAGTTTATGAATATTGACAGAGCAGCTGTAATCATATTTAATAATACATAATTACAGTGTTCAAATAAGGCATTAATGAACTGTTAATCATCCTCATGCGGCTTTAGATGTTGTATAAATGAAAGCCTGTTGAGCCCTGAGGTTCATTTTTTTGTCTGGGAGCGCTTGAGAACTGGTAATTCAGTGTTCAGTGTTTGCCAGACTTCTTCCTCTGGTGCGTTTAGCGGCATCTAATAGCATTTGAGCTCCAGTTGTCATGGAGAGACGTATCATTATTGTGAGTAATGTGAGGTTAGATTTAATGCGAGTGCAGCAAGGCTCAGCTGAACCTGAGTGGAAGGTAGATAGTAGAATAACTGTAGTGATAAATACGAGTTGTTTGAGATGGCCTATGTCTTTACTCGACTCCAAACAGTAAACATAAATTAAAGCTCCTGTGAGGAATTTTCAGTTTGTGTTGATTTTGGCGCCCTGTGTGGACAAACCAGTAATATTACTCTTTACTAAATTTGTCCTGCACAAGTAATAGTAGGGGAGGCTATTGGCAAAGACCTCCCGATACGATACGTATCATGATACACGTGTCACGATACGATACGATACGATACGATACGATACGATACAATACTGTTGTATATTTACAAGGAGGCTATTGGCAAAGACCTCCCGATACGATACGTATCATGATACGATACGATACGATACAATACAATACTGTTGTATATTTACAAGGACCTCATGATGCAAGACGTATCCCAATAAAATAATAATATATCAGGGTTTTTAACATTGTTAATCAGTCAAAAACACAAGTTGCTGTAAACTAGGATACTGAACCAAGGACAAACTGAGTTGAAACTTTGTTTCAAACAACGAACACCATTTTATTTGACTGCGTAAGTGCTCCATGTTCCTGAACAGTATGAAGAGTGTGTGGAAAATGAAGCGCAAAACAAAGTACATAATACGGGTTGGAATCACCAGTGGCCACCCACATTAAGATATTATCATGATACCTGGGCCACGATACGATATTATTGCGATTTTTAACATTTTGCAATACAGTGAGAATTGTGATACAATTTATTCGATCTATACAACTTTTTTCAACTGTTACGCTAATTTGGCATTTGTCTTTCCTTTATGTTTGTCTTATTTACACTGTATTTCATTTTTATGTAACACATCTTGCAAACCTTATGGGCCAGGTCCATCTCATTTGTGCCCTGTTTGCATTCCTAATGTCTTTCCCCAGGTGCTGCTTTATTTGTTGCACTAACTTTCTCCTGCTCTATGATTTCACTTCTATCAACCTCACTGGACAAACAGTTGATTTTATCTTTCCATTATCATAGAATTGAGTTCATAGTAGAAATTAATTTGAAAAAAACTCTATACTTGATAAATGTGACAGTACGATATATCACCAGACAAAATATCGCAATACTATGCTGTATTGATTTTTTTCTCCCACCCCTAGGTAACAGTAGATTTTTGTTACATAAAACCTCACCTGTCTGTAATTTTGACGCTCAAACGTATCACTCATAAGGGGTCTTGGCCACCAAATATGTCAAAAAAAGGTTGTTTTTTTACCCCCTTTAGCAGCTTTAGACATTATGAATAACAATACACGGGTAGTAAGTCTGAATGTTGACAGTCTTGTTTGTTTTTAAAAATCCTAAAGAGGCATCATTTTTAATTCAGCCTGTTTCATAACAGATTAAAAGCTCATCACAGGGGCTTTAAAGACATCCTCACATCTGTTAAAAACCACACCCACCTTTTATATTGTTCTCTAATTGTTGTCATACTTCTTCAAATGCCCTAATGGGGTGAAATAAAAAGTTACCAGTTAGGTTTTCTATCCTACAACTTTATTGCACATGTTCAAAAGTCTGTATAACTCTAGCTGTGGGAAAAAAAAGAAAAGTTTTAGCCATTTCTGCTGGTACAGCACTGTTACAAAACTGCAAAATCCCCTTACGTTACATTTCAGCTTGTTTTCAAAGCTCTCTCCTGCGACTGAGGCTGGCATCTTTGGAGAACTTGTAGCTGCTGTGTTTTTTTCTCGATCCCTGCGCTGTTCCAGTTTACACATTGTCAATCCAATCACACTGCTCCGACACGCAGCTCTGTGTGATCAAAGCCTGCACACATACGTACTGTCTGATCCTCGCCCGAGCACGCCTTCAGTCTGGAGTTGAATCCTGTCACTCACTCAGACAGCTGCCCTCTTACAGTCGTCTGTAGTTCATTTTGTTGTCGCAGTTTAAAGTTTTCCGTCAACTGTTGCGCTCTTCATTCTATTTTCTGTCTCTCCCCAAAGGAAATAGGTCTCTCTCTTTTCTCCTTTTTGGACGGAGACCAATAACAGGCCTTTTCCACTTCACTTCTCCTCGTGCTGAATGAGCAAAGGAGGATCCCAGAGGAGCAGGAATATTTTATTAGAGTGATATTTTGAAAGTTCCTCTCCCTTCTCTTGTCTTTCTTCCTCTCTCGTGACGGAATTTTAGGATGCTGCAACATTTCCGAGTCTGTGTGTGCAGGAAAACAGCTCACGCAGAGCAAAGACAATTCAAAGTTACTGCTAAATGACAGGCTGCGAGGCTCCGCTCTTTTGAATCGCATTGTTTTCTTTTCATTCCCGCTCGAGAGGAGGATTGGTGAGAATAAAAAAGAAAAAGCCCCAATTGGGACAGAAAGCGAGCAGTTTAGTCTCAGGAGAATTACACTCGACACAAACAAAAATAGCAGTCATTTTCTGCTGACAAACACTTTTTAATGTGAGGGTGTTTTTGTGTGAAGTTGTTGCTCTTTTTGTTGACTTATTTATGACAAAGCTACCATTTCAGGAGAAAAAGGACTCGTGTATGTGTATTGTAGCTTTGTTTTACCATAGCTTAAAGGTGTGTGAATACAATAAGGTCAGAGTTTTCTTGTTTAATTGGAAGCTCTGGCTCCTTATAAAAGAATCCCATTTGAAAATATGCTAATTTAAGGAGAAGCGTCAACCAAATGTGCAGTACAACACCCACAGACGACTTTATCTATGCCTATTCTTAAAAATGTCACTTTCACATAAATACTGCATTACACACACGATTACACCTACACACACACACACGTACGCTCAGCCAGACAGATACACACGCCCTTTTCCTGCAGGACCCTGCAGATGCAGCAGAAACAGTCGAGTTGGTCTCTCTGGTAAACAAACAGTGAGAGGCTGCTGGGAGTCTTCACTGGGCCTCCAAATTATAGCCCCGCTTAACCAAAGTCTCAGAGCCAGCCCCTTTACTGCTACACACACATACACTGAGCGTACACACCCACATCACATGCATACGCACACATGAGCCGTGCACATTAAAGGCACCATAGAGGCACACTTTAAAAGCACATATACAATCAGGTTCTAATGGGACCTTGTCTGTGCTGCAGTTGAGCCAAGGGTAAAGGATTTTATAGACATAAGAGAGACTGAGAGGGTAGCAGACCCTGAGGGCCGATCATAAATATTACCCAATCATCAAGCTCACAGTGTGAGGCAATTACTGATGAAAAAGAATCTGTGGCAATGTAAACACAGCTTTAATGTTTACAGCCTTTAACCCTGTATACACACACACACGTACCAGGACTTGAAGGTTTCTTCTCTGTGCTGGTAGGGAGCTGGTTTTCTGCGCCTGATGCTTCAGGGAGCTTTGTGAAAGTGCTTGTGGTTTTGAAAAGTGTTTTATTTTGAAGGGAAAAACTGCTTAAAGAGCACTAGTGTGGTGGAGTACACTACTTTAGCAAGAAGAGGCTGGATTGTTAAAGAGCGCCTTTAATTGTCAGTAAATGAGTTCTGCAACTACTGGGGACACTTTTCAGTCTCCGGAGGACTCCAGAACATACCAGAGTGATCTATGACGCCATTAAATCCAGTTAAAACATTTAAGGCGATCAGCTCTCGCGAAATTATTCGCTGTAAATCTCGTGCTTCCAGAGTGACACTGTATTCCAAGCGGACGATTTAATTGTCAGCCAGAGACCACATCCCAACAAACCCTTTGCCAGAGAGGTTTTATATGTGCGTGATGCTAAAATTCTCAGCTTAGCTATCATGCAACACCACAGAGTAGATTGTGTTTGAAGGACAGCGTTTCACAACATGACTTATGTTCCCCGTGGGACCCAGCAGTCGAGGAGTCTCCCCCGATCAGGACTCCACTCAGGCGCTATAAATCTGGCGACATCCGAGGCTTAGCGAGAGGCAGAGAAGACGTGACTTAAAAAGAAAGGGCCCTGTCCTGGAATAACAGGAGAATTCTGAGTAAAAATGTGGGAAAAGACAAGGTCACAGGTCGCACAATCAGACAATAGGCGTTTATCTTCTGTGAAATCGTGTTTTCCCAAAAATGCTCATGTTCCTTTGAGTGAACTCTCTTTTCCAAAGATGACTGGAAGTGATTTTGTCAGAGGACATCTCAGGCTGGAAGCTCTGAAAGTAAACTCCTTCTAACCTCCTTTTTTTTATCCGCCTTTACACCCCCACCTTGTTGTGAGTCATCCCTGACCAGTAGCCTAATAGTCCCCGTCTAATTACAGGCTAGACTTTGCAGCAAAAGCCCATCTGAGTGTGCTGCATCAGCGGTGACACTCTGCTTGATCTGTTAACTCATTCAGCGCACACAGCATCAGATGCACCAAATAAGGCCTTGAAATTTACACAAACCGAGACTTCCTAAGAGACATTTGAAGTCTAAATGGTTTGGAATTGTATGGCTCCAGGTTGCAGAGTTCAGGCCCAGGGTTTTGGAGCGGCTCCGAGCTGGACTCAGATCAGGAAGAGATCAGGAAAGAGAGATCCAAACCCTCGGAAGTTGAGCCCTGCTCCACCGTGAGCGCCCAGTGCTGCGGCTGCACGCTGTTCCTGTCCACTGCTGTTAATTTTTTTTTGATTTCCTGTTTATCTGATTGGCTGTTGGGCCGGTACAGGGCATGCTGACTGACTGAATGACAGATTTGACACTGATTGCCCCCTAGAAGCAGCGGCAAAGAAATGCCATGAGTCCACTGGAGGGTTTACAATAAAGCTTCACTTTCCGTCAGAAAAATTCATCATACATGATCCGTGTGGGTATCCAAAAGAAACAAATAGTACATTTAATATATTTTAATGCTCCAAGAGAGAAATATATATGGTACATTTCAAGGTGTGGGTTCACAGAGTCCATGTTTATGTCTGCGTTCAATTGAGCATCCATAACAGACTTTTCTCCCTTTTTCTTCTTTTTTACATTTGAACCCAATTCACCTGGATATTCCTCCGCCCGCCTCCGTCCACATCCATAAAATCTCACCTCCTGTCTCCTTCCTTTCCCTTTTCTGTCTCCAGCCGCTGTCTATCCCTCCTAACCTCCCTCCAGTCTCCAAACAGGAGCAGTGGAAACGGGCGAGTGATAGCCAATAGCCCCCCTCCTGCGAGTACTCGTCTGGGCCGCTGCCCTGTTTTGCATCTCGCCGTGTAGTCCCTCTATCTGTTTCGCCAGTTCCCTCTCCACCTCACATAAATCACTGATGATCTTACGACACGGACAGAGAGAACAGAGAGAAATCTCCCCCTATAAATCTGGTATTAGTTTTTTACCTCGCATAATGAACACGGGGGCTAAACGGCCCCGGATACATGAGAACAGCATGTCTTGCAGATGTACTATAAATATTTTGATACTAGCCGGCTAGTTTGCAGAGGGGAAGTAGACCGGTGAAATACACAGAGGAAGGGAAAAGTGTAAAGTGGAATGTTGGCCTAGCCTGGGTGTCTGTATTGTCTTTAGCACCTACAGAGGGTCTCGGTCCAAGAAAAACGCTCTTTACAGGGTTCCTGTTCCCAGCCGTGGTCCCGGTACCACTCCTGGATACGCTGCGTTTCCTTTAAGCAAATCCTTCAAACTGGTCTCTGAGGAGGAGGGGGGGGGGGGCTCGTTGTTTGATTAATAGCACGATCGGACCTGATTGAGTGATAGATGGTTTGAAGGGAAAACCAGCACGCCTTTGGGGGACACTCCAGGACGAGCGAGTCTGGGAAAGACGGCTCGCCTGAGGGTTTGACGGGTGGAACGGCTAAGTTGAAGCGAAGGGCTAATAATAGAAGAGCTAATGACACAAAAACTGCGCGGAGAGGGGAAGCCAAGAACGCCTGATGACTTTAGAGATATTTGGTTGCAGATTTGCATGGACAAACTTGAACGTACACATCTGCCTGTGGAAAAACCGAACTCCCCTACTTTTTTTTTTGGCGTGTTTCTGGCGCCAACCCCGGGCACTGTCACCCTACCCCATCAAAGAACCACACACACACACTCAGAAAAACCCTACAAATACACAGTTACGCATGCTGTGACAGCAGGTGGTGTGTGACACGTCAACATCTGAAGGCTCTCTGGCACACGCAGAAAGAGTTCTCAGCTCCGTTCCCCCCACGGCTCAGATCTATCATTGGGTCTCTTTAATGGCAGCCTTCGTCACATATTACTGCTTTATTTTCTCCTCTCCATCTCCCTGCCCACAGAAGTTCCTTTTTTGTTCCTATTTTTAAGTACAAGTGATCTCAATTAGGGACCTCCATGAAGGCGGTAGGCGGCAGACAGTCAGAGCAATAAGAGCAGAGAGGAAATTGTCTTTATACCCCCTCCTCCTCCTCCTCCTCCTTCTCTCCCTCCTTCTCTACCCTCCTGCCACAAGCGTCGAGCAGCCCCCTCCATGTCTCCTCCATCTCTTTCCATGCTGCTCTGTGCCATTTCAAAAACAGAGAAAAATATGAAAGAAAACTCATGCATCTCTGTTTCTTGTGCAGAAACATATACGCTAAACTCTAAAGGCACGGTCGCCTGAAAGGCCAATACAAACTTGGATTACGCTCAATGAAAATGGTCGCCGGGTAATACGCGCGCGCACCGCAAAACGTGCCGTCCTTATCCTAACAGTTCACAGTGATGTCAAGGGCTCGGTGACAAACAGTCATTAAGGGCTTAGCTGTGATCTAGGATCAGTGCGTGGATGTGAGGTTGCGTCGATGAGGTCACGAGGAGTAAAGTTTCTCCTGTCGTCATCCTCCCTCTCTGCCGGTTAGCTTGTTCAGTAATTATCTGCCATGTTGGCCGGCTACCAGCCCCGACTCTAACTAGCTGACCGTCAGGCTAGTTTTGCGGCTTCTCTCTGCTCTCCTGGTCGGCTCGCTTGATTGGCTGGTAGACTGGATCTTTGGCTCCGTCGCTCCCCGAGCCTGGTGGGCTCGCTGATTGGTTAGCTGGCAGCGCCGGTCGGCTGGTGGTCTGCCAAACATGGAAACATCCCGTTAGAGCTGAAACAGCCTGGGCCTCGTCACAGCGCTCCTCTACAAGGCTATAATTAAGCGTCTTGAAAAATGCAGCACTGTGAAATGTAGCCTTAATCCTGCGTCTAAAGTGGCTGTACTTTTCCTCTTGAATGATGAGAGTGTTTGCTTTCGAAAAGGGAGAAAAGAGCAGCATCTCTCTCTTATTTTCATGATTTATCTCCGCGAAGGAGTCCAGTATATGGTTATCTTCAAAAGAGATGTAAACGTGCTAACGCTGACTTTTGCACCTGGCTGTTGTTGCAGGTTTTAGCATAAACACTTAGCTTTTATACGTCCTGTAATCCATCTTAACGAGGTGTTAATAACACGGATAGATGGGTCCCTAAATGTGTGCTTGAGATGTAATGACGTTGACAGTTATAAAAAGACGAGAACAACTCTTTCGAAAACATGTGCGCTCACATATTAGCGGTTCGCACAGCCTTTGTCGTCCCAAGTGGGACCGAGAACAGAAACTTTTATTACAGGCTTGATATCTCGACAGGAAAATTAGTCAAAGAGTTGTCAGCTGAGTTTGATTTCCATTGGAGACAAATAATTGAAACTGAGCAGCAGAAATACAATATTACCATAAATCATAAAACGCACATCCTTCTCACTGTGGTATATTGTGGTTCTTCGCTGTTAGAGACTTCGCCTACTGTGCAGTGACTCCAAGCCAGTGTAACACAGTAGATGAATAATACCAGAGCTGAGGGAGGCGATCCAGCTGTGCACCAGGCGAGCAGCCGCCGCACTGAACCAGCAGCTTTATGCTCCATTCATTACTTCACAACAAAAGCGAGCGGGATAGGTCAGATTTTGCAAAAGTCCAACAGCGCGTGAAAGTTCCAGCGATCGCTTTAAATCAAAGGTTGATTTTTTGACGGGGTTTAATCCAGGACACTCAAGCGGGGGGAAGTGGTATTTTTCGATTGAACTGCGTATTCTGGCACATTAACGCCTTCTCTGGTGTCTCCCTTCACATCAAACGATAGATCACAAACTCAGAGGTCGTCCTCTACTGTACCTCTGACTGACAGAGAGCCAGACAGCAGCAGCAGCAGGCCGCGCGTAGTACTGTGCGTGAATGCGGGCGTATCCTGTTGGGAGCTGGAAGACAGATGCTGGACGTGCAGCAGGGAGGCAAAGCGGAGTCAGATGGGACAAACACTCTTTGATGAGCTGAGTTGTCGGGGTTTTTGTCACGACTACACTTGGATGAGGAGCTGAGGGGGGGTGCGCTTTGAGGCCTCGAATCAGGCTGAGGGAATCATCAGACTCTTCCTGCCTGTTTCCTCTCACGGGCCACTGAGTGCAGAGAGTCTGAATTTGAGACTGTTTTACACACACACACACACACAAAAAAGAAAAACTGGTTCTCAAAATTAAATTCCAGCTCCAATTTCTTTCAAAATAATGTAGAACACATATGCGTTTAAAATAATTAGCCTGATTAAATTGATGGACTGAAATGGACTCAGAGGTTGTTATTATTTCAGCCGTAACATTTCCTAAATTAAATTCCTCTACAACATTAAGGATGTTTTCCACATTACAGCAAATGTATTCAGCGGTGAAAAGGCGATATTATCGGAGCTGAAACTTAACTCTGTTGGAATAACCAGCTCCACGGTCCTTGCAAGGCCATGTTTATCACTATTACAGATTTAATTACTACTATTCACATTTATCCATCCATGGATTGTTAGTTGATCTTTGAGAAAGTTGGACAATGTGAACCATATTTCTGCTGTTTGGGGCACACGGAGGGGAAGTGTAACTCAATCACTCTTTTTTTTTTTTTTTCTCCTCCTCCTCCTCCCTGTCCACATGACGAGGTGCCAGATGCGTGTCAGTGCTTTTAGACTTTATATATATCCCTCCCACATCCTCACACACTCACTCAAACACACAGAGACAAGCACTAACAGACATGTACTCATGTGCACACCCATGTACCTTTTATACTTATGAAACACAAGAGCTCAGGTTATTTTAAGTCACTTTTAGGCTTAACTTCTTTATTTTCTTGACACAGAAATCTTTTTGTGAAATGCACATGACCATATCCGAGTTTATGGCATAAAAACAAGTTGCGAAAAAACCCCTACAGGACCCAAATAACCTGACAGCTGTGCCTCCCAGTAGTCTTTTTTTTTTATTTATTTAGAAACAGGCCAGAAGTATCAAAGGCCTTTGTCTTGAAGTCCCGCTGCAATAAAAGCATGTTTGGGAGCGACGGAAAAGGAACACAGAGTGGCTGCTGTGTGATGTGGCACTCAAAAACAGACTCATTGAAAGACTGATGGGTAATCAGGGTGGAGGGGCGGAGGGGTGGAAGGGTGGGCGATGAGAGCCGGCTGAGATATGGAGTCTGTCAGAGGGTGGATGATGCCCTCTACAGTAGACACAGGAGGGGTAGTCGACACATGCAGGCCTGTGCACACTCAAGTAAATGCAGCATCCACAAATACAAATCTCACATTTCTGTGAGATTAAAACATAAAAAATTTAATTTGAAGAAGTTTATACTTTTACGGTTGTAAGATGTTGAATTTTGAATTCCTGTCTGGGGAAATATGTAGGCAAGTTTAGATTCTCCTTTTTATTCTGTGTGGTGTAAAATAAATCTGAACCATTTAAAAATAATACAACCTCACACCGTGTAAGAAAAATATTATAATAAAAAGTGCATTTAATATTTTGTACAATTTTGCACTGAATCTGAGGTTTCCAACATGAACATGTTAAACTTTAATTTTGCATGCTCTGGAGTGACGTTTAATGGATTAATGTTGTTTAAAATTGGGTTTATTTTGTTTTATTTGATAGAAGAAAGGCCACTTGACGCATTATATACAATGTGAGGCTGTTTTAACATAAAAATGACATTGAATTAAATAAGCTCATAAGTCTCTTAATGAAAAATATGGTCTGCAAAGTTATCAAATACAAAATGTGATGGAGTAACAGTATGTTCAAGTAATACAGTGGCATGTCTGATACCTCATATTTATCCCTGCATGCAGTGCTTTGTTGCTCTCCTGTGGTTGTGCGTAATTACGCATAGTCCAAAAAAGAGAGAGTTGTCCTGAGGCATTGTTATGTTTAATACAAATGAGGAGTCTGTTGCCATGTGATCGTTTTACAAGCTGCGTGATCCTTCAAAGATTTGATTTTATATAACAGGCGTTTTCAGAAAATACTGCCTACAGCCCACAAGTAGCGGCCACATGTGTGGTGGGTTATAAAGTAAAGCCGGTGTAAAGTAGAATACCTGTACACCTGCACAACAGCTCTCCCCTGCGACCGAGTGAAACTCTACTCCAGCGCCTCTACCTGACTCACCGCTCTCCGGTGACTCACTCACTCCTCTCTACCTTATGGACTGTAAGCTCACTTCTCACCCAGGGCTCGGCTCTCTGAACGCTCTCCAAGACGCGCACATTGTCAGGACATAGTGGTAACACAACGCGGACTGACGGACGGATGGAGTTACCGGCTGGACATGAGCGTCCCGGGCAGAGTTAGAAACGCGTGGAGGGTCCAGGGGGAAGCGGTGACATGTTGGTATGTACAGCGGGACGAGGAGAAAGAGCGTTAAACATAACCCCCCTCATGTGAGTTTCACGAAAGGTATAGACCTGACACGGAGACCTGTCCGCTTGTCTATACAGGCGTGATAGATTATGGCAGAGGGAATGGATCTGACTCCAGACACCACGTGTTGGAGTCGCATCAGCGCAATAATTGCTGGGCGCTCGAGCTATATAAACCACAAAAAGCCTGCGCACGGGAAACCCCGACCTCCAAACACTAACCACATTTACGGCTACAAAAACGGGACTCTATTTTGCGCCTCCTTCATCTCACCGGCGATTATTTTTTCCCCCCTCGACTCCATCAACCTTTTTTAACCCTAAATACAAAAACCCACGGCACGACTTTTGGGAGGCTTTACGGAAAAAACTTGTTGAGTTTTCAGGCGTCTGAGGGTTATAAATAGCTCTATTAAGTATTGTTAAAGCGTATTTCTTTGACTTTGAAAAGTTTTTGTGTGTGTACATAGCCTGCGGGCTTTCAGAAAGCCTTTCAGTTTTGGCACAAAGACTTCAATGACGCACCTGGAGCAGCGCTTTGACTCCTCACTAAAAAGGAAGACCAGACAAAAACTTTTTTGAGCATCTGGGTCGGCTGTTCCAGTTTAGACCTGCTTTTTTTGTAATCGTATAGCCTGTTACGCGCTCGGACATTTATTTCATGTTATTTTTATCCGCACATGAGCAACTACGCCTGCGTTATGGCGCATGGACGCTTCCCCAGAGAAGCTTGAAAAAAAGAGCTTGTCATTTAAAACATCATCAAGTTTTCAGAGGGTTGTTTTTCTTGCCGGGGAAGTATATTTTATTTCGTTTGAAGGCGCCCACTAAAAGTTTGTAGTGGAGAGGGTTTTGAAACGCGGTGTGCGCTTCGAGAAGTCCCATTTTCCATTGGCAGCCGCGCTGAGGTTCAAGCGAAGCAGCGCCGCACACTGCGAGTTTTCTCAGAGAGAGAAGGAAAGAGCAGAGAGAGAGGAGCTGGAGGAGAGACTTTGGTGCCTTTTCTGATAATCCACGCTGTTGTGATGCGAATTCCCGTAGATCCCAGCGCCAGTCGGAGGTTCAGTCCGCCGTCCAACAGCCTCCAGCCCGTCCCAGGGAAGATGAACGATGTGAGCTCTCCAACCGGGCAGCCGGACGCAGCGGCGGCCGTGCCAAGACTGCGTCCCCACGAAAACCGCAGCATGGCCGAGATCATCGCGGACCACCCGGCCGAGCTGGTGAGGACCGACAGCCCCAACTTTCTGTGCTCGGTCCTGCCCTCCCACTGGCGGTGCAACAAGACTCTGCCTGTCGCCTTTAAGGTGAGTCCCGTCTATGTCCTGATATGCTGAGTGAGAGACAGCAGACAGAGTCGGTGTTCAGTCAGTGTAACTTAAAAACAAAAACACAAAACCAAGCCAAATGTAGACTTTTTGAAACAGCAGATTATAAACGCTTTTAATGTGTGAAAACAGGAGGTTCCTTTTTGGAAAAATATACTGCTGTGAGTTTGTGGTTTTTATTTTTTTCATGTTTTTCACTTCCACTAATCCTCACATAGATTCAGCCTGCTGTCTCAACTCTATGTTATCAAATTTTATTTAAATTTATTCACAAATGTAGTTGAATTTAACAGCTTTAAAAACCTTCTTCTGTTTGTTGTTACTTAATCAAAAATATTTTAAAAATGTATTTCAAAATAAAACACCATGCCATGAGATGACATGGTGTTACAAGGGCCTCAAACTGTGTGCCAGATTTAAAAGGACCAGCCTGAAGGAATCACATTAAGATTATTTTTTTAAAGATTCTATAAACAAACAAAAACTGTGTTTGAATTACTAACATTATTCGACATTGTAAATTCTGATATTCATTAGTGGTATCTAAAGAAAACTCCCCACTCACTTTGTGAATATTTCCACAATAAAAGCATTCTTTCCACGCTCATTAATTACAGTTTTGTGTAAGCAGAAATTATTGACATATGTGGCGTATTTATACAAACAAAGAAAACTCGCATGTTAAATTGCTGTTATAAAACACTGTGGTGTATAGCCTCGACTTTTTTGTTGCTTCGACTTAAATTGATTAAAGCTTCAATTTTTTGAGTTTTGCTTAAAAAACAGAGGACAGGAAAAACTCCAGACATCAAAAAAAGCAAATAAAAAAAAAAAGACTAATGACATTGTAGGCCTCTGAGCGTCTCTGAAGCCCTGACACTGTTCTGCTCCCATGATAATTCACAGGAAAGGCCCTATTAATTACTTGACAGATTTGATTCAAAGGACGGATCAAAGAAACACCAAAGTGGAAATTTGCGGCTTAAGCTCTGGCTCCAAATCAAATGTGACACATTTTAAAATATATGTGTTATTTAACCATTCTTATTACTACGGCTCTGTAATTATCGCAGCTCTGTAGGCCCGCTCATGCTCTTTTATCGTCATCCAGGGATCTAAATGATAACACAAGGCCCTCGCTGCCTTTGTTTTTAATGACAAAGTGGAACTGAATTAAGACTCATATGTCAACAGGATTTTAAGGAGGATGGTATGATGTTAAACAAGCCTGTTATGTAAGCTGCATTTATTATTTTTCCACTGAAATTAGAAATTATCCAAGATTAGATGTCACTCAGCTTTTGGCTTCAAAACTAAAAGAATTCTTTTCCTGAATTTTTTTCCCATAACCTTTTTTTTTCTTTTTTCTTTTATTAGAAACAGAGGAATACAAAATGTGGCAGAATGTCATAGATTTAAGTTTTTCTTTTTTTGTTTTTCACGCAGAGCTTTGTTCATCACATTTCTGACCTTTACACCCCCTCCCCCCCAATAGGTGGTTGCCCTGGGAGACATACCTGATGGTACAGTCGTCACAGTCATGGCGGGCAACGACGAGAACTACTCGGCCGAGCTGCGGAACGCCTCAGGTGTGATGAAGAACCAGGTGGCGCGTTTCAACGACCTGCGCTTCGTGGGCCGTAGTGGTCGAGGTGAGACACGAGGCTGCGTTCACTGCAGGCTGCTATAAGTCAGCGGGAGCTCTGAGGTTCAGTGGTGTGGATTAGTGGTCAAACTCCCCTCATTGCAACCACATAATGATCTCCAACTCTGAGCTCAAATCCCACTGCCAGTCTCCTCAAAGCTGAGGGTTGAATGAAGTTGCGCTGCGCCTGAAAAAGCCTTGATTAAGGTAGAAAAGAAAGTCTCATGGACTTTCAAAGATTTAGACAAAGAGAAGAAACAAAACAAGTCCTTTGTTTTTCTTTTCTTTCCTTAAGATTCACCTGACATGACCTTGCTCGGTTCAGCCTTATTTACTTGATGGGTGGTGCTGCAGCCTCGCTGCTGATCACTCTGCACACATCCTCAGGCTGTCAGGCAACGAGGCAGAGGCGCCCTCCTATTGGGTCAAAAAGCATTCCCAGAATATTTGGCATGGCCATGCGCGAGTCTTTGCATCATTAACTGCCTTGTCACTAAGGCGTCTTATTTACGATTAGAGATTTGGCACCAAGGATGTGCTCTCACCCTCTCCAAGTTCACTGGAAATATTCCCTTTGACACTTTTATTTTCTACAAGCCTCGCACACAGCGGTCGCCCTGCGATAAGTTGATGGTGATGAGCGCTGTCAGCACATCTATCAGTGACTTTTCCTCCTAGTTTCCTTCTGTCAAAACGAGGAGGAAGTAGAAGCAAGTAAGGATGGAGCTGTAAAGAGAGCAATGGAGGTACGGTGGCCAGGCTTGTCTTCGCAGAGATCTTGCGTGAGTCCCTCTGCTGTGACACAGAATCTAGTCACAGGAAGTGACATAGGAGCCCTAGGAGATCAGTGTCTGAAATCTACACCAGGCAGTGACAGAGATAAGTACAAGCAGAGCGAACTGATAGGATGTTAGATAGCTAACAGCCGTGCACACAGAAAACCTCTGAGATGGACCAGGATTGATAGCTGAGGGCTGAAACTGTGCCAGCATGCAGAGGGTGGCAGGGGCAGGTGATTTAGAGAGCAACCGGACACCTTTGATGGCATCATTAGAGTTAATATTATAGTAGTACACAGGGTTGACTCGACAGCGAGCCCGAATTAGAAGCAGGGAGGTGACGCCGTGGCGTTATCACAGATCACTAGCTCTGCTTCACCCGCATGCACCTCAAATCAGGTATGTGGAACACCTGTTGCATCTGTGATCTGTTATCTCCCCTGATCATCGCATCACTTCCCTGAAAGGCTTGTTTACACTGAGCAGGAGTTTGTAGAAAAGAGGACATACACGGGTCGCTGTCTGCTTCTATGGACAGCTGCCACAGCAACCTGCCCCCCACCTTCCTGTTTCCTTTGTGTAGCCATGGCGACACGACGCATCTGCATACCTCAGTCTTTAGTGCTGCTGCTGACTTGGCTGTTGCACTCTGATTCATAGTGTTCTTCACTCACACACACACACGCACACACATAAACCCCAAGGCAGCAACTGCTGGGGATTATCGAGAAAGGAAGTGACTATTAAAATGCCTCTCGCCCACTCACACTGCGTTAGACGGGGGAGAAAGTCTGGATAACAAGACACTGGCTCCTCCAGTCAATCTCCCATTTAGACTCTGCCAAAGAACCTAAATAGACCCACTGAAAGAGGCGATCATGTCTGTCGTTAATCCTAGTTTGCATTGGCCATTATGTGATCACAACCACACTTGTGACTAGGGGATGGTTTAGCGATGAATGCATGTCATTGTCCCTGAGACTGGTGTGTCATTTGATGTTGTTTGATGTCATCACAGGCAAGAGCTTCACGCTGACAATCACAGTATTCACCAACCCACCACAAGTGGCCACTTACCACCGAGCCATAAAGGTCACCGTGGACGGACCGCGTGAGCCCAGGAGTGAGTACAAAGACATGCACATATAGCACGGCACAGGAGTTTGCTTGCACGCATAATAACTGCATGAGTTTGCATTTGAGGTGGTGAGACAGCTGTTTTTAAACTTCTTTAAAAAGTTTGAAATATTCTTTTAAAAATGTAGAAATTATTTAAAAGTGATTGAAATTGACGCAGCAGAGGCAAAAATATCCTGATTTTTAATATTGAAGTGATTTATAAACAGTAGATCCTACAATTCCCATCATGCAGCGCAATGCAGTTTTTGCATTTGAGCTTTATGCCTTTATTTAATAGGCCTTCAATTAAAGTCTGAAGCCATCAACTGTGTAAAACATGAACATAGCCTCATTGTTATCACCCATTAGTTCGTAAATGCTAACTCATCCTAACTTTTAGTCGACTTTCCCCGAATTTCCACCGCAACCTGAACGGCTCAGATCCAGAAGGGTTGTGATTTTCGCTGTCTTCCAATTCCTACCAGATCCGTTTGTGAGGCGAATTTTATAGCAGATTACGGACATCGGTAATTGCAAGAACTCACAAGAACCCGCGGATTCACGTGCAATTACGCGATAATTAGTTGTCTCTATATAGGCTCCACATAGGCTAACCATTTAAGCAGTAGACTGTGTCCTTCCAGAGGAGGAAATCTACTTCTAGACTTCTAGAATCAGCATCCTCTCATCCATGGTGTCATCGGGGTGAAAAGCTGTCTATAAACCTTTCACTTGTTCACATGGTGTGAAACATGATCGGACTGAAACACGGAGCGTTTTATTTTGAAAGAAGCCAGATATTTTATTTTGTGTCTGTGTCCGACTTCCTTTCCAGCACGGGTTAATCTGTGCTGAATTTATCCGGCATTATCCGGCGTCCTTAAAAAAATAGAACTCTTTGAGATCAGCTGCGGAGTCTGGCGATCCACAGCAGAACGGAAAGAAGCCGGTGGAAATTGACACAATAACTTGAGTGGTTATAGCTACAATCGGCGGATATGGCCTTTTCCTAGCCGTTCTGAAAGCGGTGGAAATTGGGGGCCAGTGGCACCACCCATTAGTTCCTAAATGCTAACTTATCCTAATGTCGACTTAAAGGAGGAAGAGGAGGAGTAGACACAAGCCATAATAATAACAATAATAAAACAAATGAGTTCGATAACATTCACTCCCATTTAAATGTGTTATTTTATTATTTTTTGTATAAACTCCGGCTTTTTGTATGGAAGTGTGTTTGTTGCCAACCTCCTGTGGACACTCAGGGAATTGCAGCATTAAATTCTTCCAAACTTGATTTCTTAGGGCCAGAGTTCGCAGCGTCTCTCACGCCTAAGTTTAGATAACCCTACTTGACAACATTACTTCATAACAAAAGAATCGGTACAACACGAACTGTTTTACAAGCAGAGAAACGCTCCTAGAGATTGTTAATTAAACGTAAAATAAGGGTGAGTGCCCCTTTAACAATCCGTGGGTGTGGCTAAATGTGCAGCCAGTCAGTGGCAGCAGATGCCAAGCTAAAATAGCACAGGGGATGTAAAATAGATTAGATTAGATGCAAGAAGTGTACTGGCAAAAAAAAAAAAAATTGGTGGTTGTTTCAAAAGCAATCAACAGGTTTTTAATCAAGTGGGCCTCTCAGAATGAGTCTCAGCACCCCATGTGACGGTCTGAAAGAAAGAGAGGAAATAAAAAGAGAGGCAGCGTATTCCTGAGAGGGTACACTGGGTAGCAGAATGCTAGCATCAGCTCCTTTTAATGGGCCATATAAAAACAACTGAGGAGGAAAAAAACTTTACTATAGCTGTCTGTGCCAACTGGTCTGGCATGCAGCTGTTTCCCCAACCCTCCTCCCTATTCATAAAAAAAAAACATATTCTCATCTCATGGCGTCTCATTGAACAATATCACATCACAAACAACCCACTCGCCGCCTGCGTCGCCACATATGGCACCAGGACGCTCGGAGACACAGCGGAGCCGGGAGACAGTAGGATTAACACTAGCATCAGTCTCCATTGTAGGAAACCTGCCAGGGTGCCAGAAAAGGGATCAGAAAGTCGACATTGAGCGTTCATCATCATCACACACAACGAAACAAAGGCACATGCTGGTCGTCATGTGCACATGCACTCATAATCACACCCTCTGTTTCCCCCTTCCTCTCTCCTCTCCTCACACTCGGGCCTTTTTTTCGTTTGATCAAAAGCATTTCCTGTGCATCTGCTGTCCCCCGTCAGATGACTTTCAAACAAGTCCTGTTAGTCGGTGGTGAGCAGATGGGAGTCAGGGTGAAATTTTGTTTAGAAAAGACCCAGCTTGATCTCAACAAAGTTACAGACAGAGAGTTGAAAGCCTTCCTGGAAGTTATGTGAGGAGAGATTGAGTCAATAAACCAAAGACAGGCTGCACTACCTGACATCAGGTGAGGGATTCTCGCACTTTCATCCGTTACTCTCCTCTGTGTCTCAGACCAATTTGTGGTCAGAAACACATCTTTTAGAGTTAAACCTGCATGTTCTACCTTCAGTCTCAGGACAGTAATTTAAGCAATAAAGAGTATGTCATCATACCTAACCCCTGAACTTCTTTACTTTGCTGTTAAGTGGTCAGAATTGCAGCACCGGTGTAATTTACCCAGAAACTACAGCCAGAACACGTCTCCCTCTCAGGGGTCATTAAGCTGAGGTCGGAGGGTGGCAAAACACACATGTGCCCTCTCAACCGCTCCTCCCCTCCTCCTGGTTTTTTCAGCACTGAGAGACTCGGCGCTGAGAGCCTCGGCTGTCTCCAAAGCTGTGATTCTATCTGTGAACGCTTCATTGACACATGGGGGGGCCATTACAGCTCTATTTTGTGTTAAACGAGTGGGTAATTAGGGGGCCTGTGCTGCTCTGGGCCCCTACTGGGAGGGGTCCATACTGAGACACATGGAGAAAGAACAGTGAGCTGTGTTGAGCCTGACATACACTGGCACTCTGTGGGCCCTGTCTTTTGTGGAGAGTTGTTGTTTTTAGGGAGGAAAAAATAACGCTGACAATAACACCAGATCCCAACACAAGCTAGAAACCAGCCTGGAAAGCTGAATTTAACGACCGTTCTTTTGACTTTTACAGATTTGTTTAGACTTTTCTGGATGTTAGTGGCAGCTTTTGCTCCCTGTTAATGACTTGCCTGCTTGCGGTGTCTCACTCAGGAAGGACATTTTGTGTCGGCCTGTTTGATGCGCCTTATGGCAGCCATATGAGTCTTCCTGCGGGAATTTGATTTCCCCAGCAGTTCCTTTTCTAATATCAAGTAGTGGGTTAAGGTCGGACCACCCGTGAATAAGCAGGGCTCATATCTCTGAACCTGCGGTGCCGAGCTCCAGCTAATTAATTGCGTGGTCGGAGTGACGAATATCAGTAGGGCCTACTTTAAAGATCTGCGGTAGGATTTTCCTCCGAGGTTTACACTGTGTACGTGTGGCTATGGTAAGTGGTTAGTCAGGTCCCTCTGGCCACTGTGTTATTAGCGTGAGGCTAACTCGGTTTCTGTGGCTCGCATTGTGCTTAATCGCTTGACAGCTCTTGGTTACTTTGTGGTTTGCCACTGCACCAACAACTCAGCAGCGAGTGTGTGCACATGTATGTGTCAGTGTGTGTTCATGCGTCCAGGCATGAGCGTGTCTGTTTGCTAATGCATGATTTTGAATACATGTCTGTCCTCTAACGCCTGCAAACGAGAGCGCGCGCATGAGTGTGTGTCTGTGTGTGTGTGTTATTGGTGTCATTACTCTGGTGCAGCAGCAGTGCTGATTTGGAGCGGAGCTAATAGGCCTCATTAAATGTCATTTCGAGCTAATAGACAGGGAGTGGCTGTTTAAACCAATATGCTTTTATAGGTGGTTCTGTCTCCTTTCAGCTGCTCCTGACGGTGGCTGCGGCCAGCTGAGACAAACTTCCTGAGTGATAATAGCCGAGTCATAATAACACAATATACAAGGCTTTTCTATCCAAACCCACTGTTCTCATTATACTTAATTGATGACAGACAAACATAGGAGGTGACAAAAACCATTGTGGCGTCACACAAACTGTGTCTTACTGTGGCATAATCCGGCGGTTCTTGTGTATAACCGAGTGTTAGTGACGGGTGTGTGTTGTGTGTCAGTGGTGGAGGTTAGCGGTCAGGCTCTGGGCTCCCTGGTGTTTAAATTCGCAGGGTCTGGGGTATCTGGGCTCGGGGACAGGGTCGTGTTTTGGTTTGATTTTGGTCAGGGTGTTAACAAGTGTAAGGAAGAGGCCCTGGTTACTTATAGGTCTGCAGACAATATTAGCGGTTCAAGGGACCCGTCTGCCAAGCCAGACTCTTCCTGTGGCACACACATGCTCAAACTCACATGTAATAATTTGAGATCTGCTGCTGTGCACGTTCACCATAATTGCTTTAATAATGGTGTTTATTATTATTAAAGAAAATTCAATGTTATGTATTTATTCATAAAGTAATAAAAAAAATGCAGACAAAAAGCAGGAAGGAAATCTTGAACTACTCGGAAATAAAAATCCCAAATTTCCCTCAACATGAATTTTTAAAGCTGTAGGGCCCTCACACCAAAGCCAGGATACAACCCGGACCCATAGGAACTCAGGGTAGACTTTTCAGAGGATCTGAGTCTGTGTTCCAGATCGCAACAGTCGAGGAGTCTGCAAATATATTCTCAGGAAAAACTAACTTGTGTGTGAATCGAATAAACTGAGGAATTGGATGGTCAAAAGAGGCAAAATAAGGATGATTTAGGGACAACTGTCCATTAATGGGGGGAGGACTTCAGCTCAGACATTAATAAAGTGGATTATAGCGGCCCAAATGTAATCGAATGAACGCAACGGATAGCTTTCTTTGATTTGGGTCAGGGGAAAATTGTGTGGATCTGATTCTTGATATTAAATTAAGATGACTAAAGCAGCACTGTTCCACCGCCCTCACTTGAGTATCAAAATAAAAACCCTCCCAGACTGCGCAGACCCCACAGGTTTAACATCTACTGACAGACTGCCATGGATGTAAAATATGAGCAGGATGAAGTGGGGAGAGCAAAGCAGGATAAGCTCTGATTTATCTGTAATTTAATGCCATTAGATCTGTGAACATTCAGTGTCTAATCCGGTTAAGGATTTTATGAAAGAAGTGGGTCTGAGTTATGTAGAGTTAAAGCACAAATCAAAAGCTTCCGTTTCCTCCCTCTGTCCACTGTGTCAAGCATGACACCACTTTTCTTTAGACTCAAAGAAAGCTACAAGCTGCCGATCGCAACTCAGCCCGAAGAGTTTATTTCAACATATTGTAAAATCTGGAATTTATGTCGCACCAGTTTTTAAGCTGTAGTCTGTTTTGAGAGGCTCCTAGAGGGAAACTGTCTGAAATCATCTGCATTCAGAATAGTTTTTATAACCCAATGAGATAAAGAAAAACTTAAGATAGTAGGGATGGGAGAAAATATCGATACAGCATAATATCGCAATGTTTTGTCTGGTGATATATCGTATCGACTCATTAACCAAGTATCAATTTTTCAAATTAATTGCTAATATGAGGTCAAATCTATGATAATGGGAAAATAAAATCAACTGTTTGTCCAGTGAGGTTGGCAGAGGTGGCGTCATTAAGCAGGAGAAAGTTAGTGCAACAAATATAAGATTTGCAAGATGTGCAACATGAGAATAAAATACAGCGTAAATAAAACAAACAAAGGAAAGCCAAAATGTTAAAAATTGCAATAATATTTTATCATGTCCCAAGTATTGTGATGATATCGTATTGTGTGGCCACTAGTGATTCCTGCCCCTATTAAACAGTCATTGCTATGTATCCAACATGCTTTGTACACTTCTTCAAGAGCTGTCCTTAAGCAGATAAAACACTGTAACACAATAAAACACTGATCTATGCTTTTTCAACCCGTTAATGGGTCGCAAATTCCACTTTTCAGTGACAAAATAGATCATAAATGTGTTTTTTATGCCAAATTTTGTTTTAGTGTTTCACACCTGTCAATGTAAATAGGCAGATAAGTGGTTAGGGTGACCATACGTCCTCTTTTACCCGGACATGTCCTCTTTTGGGGGGCTGTCCGGCCTTATCCAGCTTTGTCCAGAGAAGTTTATTAAATTCTTCAAATTTTGGGGGGTTTTGTATAGAAGTTTTGTGTTTGTGTTGCATGGATTTACTGAGTTAGAAGTGCGTGAAAAACACTTGATCTGACCCGGGAAAACTCCCAAATTTACTATGCATGGCTCCGCTCCCACGTAGTTGGGTCCTCTTTTTGGGGATTCAGAATATGGTCGCCCAACTAGTGGTGTTTCGTACAAACACCTAAGCGTCATCTGCAAAGAATTAAATAATGATTTTGAATTCTTCTAAATTGTTTCTATGAAAGAAAGCTGCTAGCATAAAACAATAGTGGGCTAAGGTCAGAGCCTTGTGGCACACCACAAGTGAATTAGGTGGTTAGAAGATGATCCTAATGCGGCATCAAGCTCTAGATTTGATTTCTACTAAAAATACCTCAGACAAACAATTACAAACATAACAAATTTATGTAAGTGGCTGCTAAGCTACCTTCTATTACTCTTATTAATAGACTGACATTCTCAGGGATGGGCGGGGAGCAGCATGAGTAAGTGAGATGCCTTTGTTAATATGTCGGTCATGACAACACCAAGAGGCTCGCAAACGGTGTCATCACACACACATGCCATTACATGCATATGAAGGGTATCATTACCTGCTGCAAGACCTGGTTTTGTTTCTTACAGCAAACATTTATACTGTGTGTGTTAAACGCTACCGTACCCGCCAACATCATTAAACCGTACCGCACTATGTCAATCAGCTTTAATTGTCCTTTTTATTGTGTAAAGTAATATGTTTGAGGATTATTATGCCTTTTGAGGCCTTCATTAAGCGTCATTTCCAAAGCAAAGAATATAATTTGAACAGATTCCAGATAATTAAAGAGGAATTCAGAAGATTCAAAGCCCTTTTCTCTTTTTCACAGACAGATACACACCCACACCTTTTTGCGGTCGTCTTTCATTTGAAGTAGCTTTTAACAATGGGAGCCGGACAAATAAAAACTCACCCAAACATCAGGAGGAATGAAAAGAGGGAGGGTGGAAGAGAGATGAAGAAAAAGAAAGAAAAAAAAAAAAGACTGCAGGCTTTTCCAAAGGCAGTCAGTAAGTTGCATGTCTTATGAAGTCCCTTGAAGAGGTGCCAAGTCCTTTACAACGCAAAGAAACACAAAGTCATGGAGTGGGAGGGAGAAACAGAGATCAAGACAGCAGCAGAATAAAAAAAAGAGAGGAGAGGAGAGGGAGACAGACAAGGAGGATCGTTGTGAGCTTGTTGGCCCTGCGCTGTTGTAAAAAACATCTCGGAGATTTTCCCTCATTTTCTGATCAAAACACTTCAGTGTGAGGTTGAGGTGCGAAGGGAGTCCGAGTGAAAAACCACACACAAGCCAAACTCTTTGTGCTCTTTAAACCTTGTACAATATGGCACGAGTGTGTGTGTATAATGTGTTTTTGTGTTCAATAAATGTTTCGCCTTTGGGAATTATTGTGTATGTCTGTGTGTGTGTGTATGAGTGTGTGTGAGTGTGTGTGTGTGCCCTTCCCTTGCCTGGCTTGCTTCCTCCAGGCTGGAACGCATGGACCACACAGACGGCTGGCAGCCCTCCACGACAGCCTGGCTCCCCCCTTTTTTCTCTCCGTCTCCTTCTCTCCTTCGCTCGCCGCCTCATCTCCCACACCGCCTCCTCCTTTTCTCTCTTTTTCCTCTTTTCCCCTTCCTTTTTTCTATGGTTCTGTTTTTATTATCTCCCCTCTTCTCTCCTACCTCTCGCTCCCTTCTCCATTTATACCAGACCCCCATGGTAGACGGGCGTCTGGCTGTCACCCACTCAGCGCTTTTCCTCTCGGGCCACGCTCTGCCAGTTTCAGATTGCCACCTGAAATAATTCATTGTTTCTGACCGCTCACAAAAACAACACGGCCAGTGTGAGGGCTCCAAATAAAAAAGTGAAATATGGACCCAGTGTATTCATTCATCGGCTTTACTGGCCGTTCCAGTCGGGGATGACTGACACACTCATACACACTCACAAACACAGACTGGCTGATTCAACCCAGGCTCCGTGAGCATGAGGGGTTTTCTGAATCAGCCCAAAAGATACATTCATCCAATCTCACCCAGTGATCATAAACCAGACTGAAGGGCTTCAAGGGCATGACGTGACACCGAATTTATAAATTATCCCATTTATTCAGGATTTTTCTGGCGCTGCACTTTTTCCTCACATGTCCCTTAGTCAGCCAGCAGGCAGGAGGACTTCCAACTGATGAGTGTTTAGTGATAGCCGAAACCTAATGTGTTTGTGAGGGGAGGAGGCTCTTTGAAGGAATAAATCACATTTCTGAGACATGAGAGCGTACTCGACTTTCAAGTCTGCGCCCCCGTGATTTTGTCGAAGCGAAAGCCAGGAGATGTTAGCTTAGATTTGCACAAAGACTGGAAGTCAGGAAAAAGCCGGCCTAACTTTGTCCAAATGGAACAGAATCTTTTAACCTGTGAGGCTAACGCTCAGAGCTAGCTTTAGCTCCATATTTGGCCTACAGACAGATGCTTAATCTTAGCAAATGAGTAGTTTTCCTTTAAAATTATTACTACTTTTATCCATCCAGTTGGTGCTCCTTTTGTAAAAAACAAAACAAACCAATGCATTACCGTAAAAAACAAAAAAAAGCCCAGGTATTTCAGGAATATTTTCAGCCGGTACATATGAGGGAACAGCTAACCATCCGTCAAAGATCTCTGTGCTTAGGCTCAGATCCAATCTAATGCTGCCATTAATTACAGAGGACTTATATTCTGTTTGCCTACTTGCTCTTACTAACTGTTATCAGATCAGCAGGGGCAAGTTGAATCCAGACTCATGTCTCTTGGACGGCTGAAATAATACTATTCTAGGATCAGTGTGCAACTGCGTGATTAGAGATACTATCTATAGAGGCGTTATCTAATCATATTAATCTTTTTTTCGTGTGTGTGTTAGCCGGTGCTGCGTGTGCAACCCAAACAGCGTTTTGCATGCTGCATGTGTGCAAACGCACATGATTGCATGCGCAGACGTGTGCTTGCATATGTCCGTTCTCGCATGTGTGCGTTTTTCTGCGTGTGTTTCCGTGTGTGTGCACGACTCGCTCACATCTGGTCTGAATCTGTCCATGTTTCCGGCCGCTGGCTGGGCAGGGAAGTGGCAGGCGCTATCGAAAATCTCCGCTGTTTTCACAGGGATGATGGGAATCTCAGGGACTTTCCCTACGGCAGTGAAATCATCCGCCTTTCCCGCTCCTTTAAATACCCCCGGCTCATTCCTCCGCCCAGCTAGGGTTCCGATAAAACAGCTGAGACGTCTTGTGTTTGGCAACAGTTGTCCTCTAAAAGGTGTAATTAACTCATGAAAAACTGTATTTACTGTCAAAGCTTGCTAAACTAATGGACTTGAGGTCGAGCTGTTTGGAGTGTAAATTGGACCTTTATGTGGTGGTTTGAATGCTGCATCCCCTGTCCAAGGAAAAATACATCGGTTTCCTGTAAACTGAGTTGCATCCATAGGTGTTTGACAGCATTTAAACCTCAAATCCTGCACCAGTCGAAGTCAGCAGTGGCTGTCTTTATTTCCTGTGTAAATATACAGAATATGCATTCATCTGTATTTTGAGATCTAAACTCTAAAAACTCCCGTTATTTTAAACTCTTTCTAACTATTTCACCATGCGCTGTCCTCTGCACTCAGCACTCTTTAAACAGCCCGAGTCTCCTGACTGGTTCAGACCCATCCAGAGCTCTTAATTTACTGGTCATCAGGGTCTCTTCCTCTCCACGCGCCGCCTTCCCCCCTCCCCCTCTCTCGTGTCTGTCCCACTCTGTCTCCCCTCATCTCCCTCCTGGTCTCCCATTGCTATTTATTCCCATCACTAGGAGACGGGGGCTGTGCACAAAGCCCGCACTGTGTCCCGAGGCTTTTTTAGAATAGAAATTCGGTCTGTTGAAAATGGAAACGCTATGATTGACTGGGCACAGCTTGCACAGAGAGATGAGGAATGCCAGCGAGAGGCACAAATTATCCTCAGAAATGATGGAGCAATATTATTAATGAAATACGGCCATGAATTATGTTATAAAACCAGAAACTTCAATAAGCCAGAGGAGCCGATATTAGCCGCGTTCCAGAGCTACTATGAACAGAAGCGGATGATGAGATTGTCTGATTATTTTGAACGCCTTGATGCCAGTCCAGTAACGTCACTGTAATAAAAAGCCACGGCCCGTCTGACTGTCAGTGGCAGCATTTTCATTCTTAAATTATAGCCGAGCAGCACTCCAAACTTTAGTTAAAAGTTACTTAAAGATAAATTAGTTTTTTTTTCGCATTTGCAATAGTGGGAAATAGAGCAGCTAGATGCTGCATGCGTCCGCAGAGGTAGAACCTGGTCTTTATTACACATGTTAGACTATTTGTCAACAAAGACCCCCTGCGAGGACGCTCCCTTTGGTCTTTTTAATCCCAATTCGATTACACAAATGATGATTATGTTAAGATCTCCTCTTATCTTTCTCTTAGTAACAGCCATGAAGCGCCATAGATGTAGTGCCAGCTCTTTGTTCCCATGCAGCGCAGGCAGAAGGCAGGTTGGGCAGGATTCTGAAGCAGCTCTCTGTTTCTGTCTGAGCCAACTGGAGCGCTGCCAAGCACAGCAGGAGCTTCTACTCTCCTCTGTTTGATATTTACTTTACCGCCTTTACAGGGGAACTAGTGCAAGACCAGACAGACGCACTGATACAGAGCTGTGTCAGTGGCAAAGGGGACTGTGTGTGAGTGTGCACAGGCCTTTCCTTCTACCCCGCCTTTGCTAAACTAGAGCAGACTACACCTGGGCGTCTGGATAGGTTTTTCGCCGTAGTGACAGTACCGCTGGCGAAGAGACATTTCTCGCGTTTGCGTGCACTGTCGAAGAATAGAGAGTTACAAGCCTGGAAAAGTGATGTGAACGCAACAGGGGGTGAAGAGTGTGTAACATAATAAGCAGAGGAATGCAGGAAAGGAACAGGTATAACATATTTGGCATAGGTCTAGATTCCTGCGGGGATAATTGGGCAATGGCGTGAGAGCATGTGTTTACCTGAGGAAGAAGCCTCAGGTTAAAACTACAAATACGAGCAACTTCTCCCACTCACAATCACCCTGTCTGAACTCTCTCTTTCTCTCATGCCAGGTGATTCGATATAATTGCCCTTTCCTAATTAGCAGGATGTAGCATCCCATTCCCAAGAGCCTCTGTACCTCCTCTTTGTTTTGGAGCACACGCTGTGTTTACCAAGAAAGGCATGGCATACAGAGGAACTGAGTCATTAAATGTCCATTATAAAAAAAAAGAACTGACAAACTGTATTCGGAGAGAACAGCAAACAAATGGAGAACATCAATCACACAGAAGGGCACAGTTAGAGACTTATTCAACGTCGGACAAAAACGCTGTTTGCATGCAACATCACGGCGCTATTAAATGTTATCATCAAATAAATTTTCTGTCTGAACGCAGCCTGGAGGACATCGGTAATTGGTGCGACTCCTCACCAATAAAACTCTGTGTTCTTGTGTCCTCAGGGCATCGGCAGAAACTGGAAGACCCTCCCAAAGCCGGCCTCTTCTCGGACCGTCTCAGCGAGCTGGAGAGGATGAGGGTGAGGGTGGCTGTCCCCACTCAAGGCCCCCGACCGACTCTCAACACAGCGGCCAACTCCTTCAACCCGCAGGGGCAGACGCAGATAACAGGTGAGCGGCAGAATCTCGGCTTTTTATAGTCGGCCCAGACAAGCGCTGATTTAAGCACCATGGAGTATCCTAGAGGTGGATTTCAAAGAATGGAGCATCTATCATAATTTGGGTCTATGCGTCTTTAACACGCAGTAGGTTATTCCTTTAACTACGACACAAGCCCCCCTTTTCTGGACTCGGTCCTAAACGGTATCACTGCAGCCTGAGTCACAAACCGAGCAGCATTTACAGTACACGAGGTGAAATATCAAACCTCAGCTGGAGCCGGCGCACATCCTGATAGGACCACAAAACGCTCAGCGCTGTACGTTTCATTAACACCGAGATCATCTGTCTCTCTCTCTCTCTCTGCTCCGTCACTCTATCAATCCCCAAGTAACACCATCTCTCACGGTTCGGTATGGCTGCCACCCGATCGCCCACACCGCCGCAGGCTCGCAGCGGGTCATCGCTTAGTTCTTAGTTACTCTCTGGCACGGCTTCGTCGTGTTTCTCGGGGAATCATTTGAGGGACGATTAAACAGCGTGGCAGCGAGTTGGAAGGGAGCGAAGATGAGCTGCAAATTGGAACTGCTTTTCGAGGATTCGTTTCAGATGAAGCGTGAACTTTGACTATCAGAAGAACCGGAGTAGCTGTTTTTCCACTTTCTCTTTAAAGCTCCTGTAAGGAACTTTTTTTTTTTTGCGTCCCCTAGTGGACAAAGTATTCTTAGCTCATCTTACCCTCATTATTGTTTAGTCGTGTCTTCTATGAATGCAGAATTTTGACACTCACATATATAGTTTACCGTGTTTTGCGTGGAAATTGTAAAAACAGGGTTGTTTCTTCAGATGTTCGGCTAACATCTACGCCCTCAGACAAGTTTAAGGCAATAAAAATTACAATCTAAAAATTGTCAATCCTGTCGCTAATGATCTTGTTTGTTTCTGTTGATTAGAAAAATCTGGTTACATAAACGTGAAAATACTCCTCACAGGAGCTTTAAGCCAACTGTTTAGTGAGCGATATCGCTCTATCACTTTTTCCTTTAAAATATAAAGCTCAACATTTTATCTTTATTAGATAAAACTTGACTAAAGCATTTTATTTCAGCTACTTTTGCTTTACTTTTTGGGGCTTTTTATCTCATTTAGATCAGACAGCTTCAGAGAAACAAAAGAGCAGGGTGGAGATAGAAAATTTTAGTTACTTTTACCATTTTTTTATCATTTTTTCACCATCCTAACAATCTTTTCATCCTTTTTAAGGTTTATCATTATCTTAATGCTTCTTTACATCTTTTTTTTTAAACTTAAAGCTCCTGCAGAAACTGACTGATATTGATATTATTGCCTCTTTATGAGTTACGGAAGCAACTTTTGATTGATAAACTCTTTTTTCCACAGGGGGGCGCCGAAATCAACACAAACTTTAAGTTCCTCACAGGAGCTTTAAATTGTTTTGACTTCTTAAACACGCATAATTGAACAATTTGACCTTAAATTTAGGTGAACCGTTTCGCCTGTTTAGCTCTTTTCCACTGACTCATCGAGTAATCTCGCTCATCTTTCAATCACAACACGCTTAAGAGCTGCCACTTACTCAATATAACTGCTGAGTTGAACTTCTCCTACTTAGAAGTAAGCCAAATAGAGATTACACGGTACACAATCATGAGAAAATATCCTCCAAATATGTGTCTCTGGTTGCGAAGGACACAACTTTTAAGCTTTGCAGTACTGACACACAAACACTGAAGTGTGTGCGGCGGTTATTTTCCTGGTTGTGCGCTGGTGTGTTTACGCCCTGGGTGTGCGCCAGCGAGGCTCTCTGTGCCTCAGCTGTGAGCACAATGTTTTATAAGGCAAACAGGAAGATCTTCTCTCTGAAGGTAAACATTAGATGTGTCATTATGGAGGATGTTGCATAACGCGCCCAACTGATACTTACCTCTAAACACAAGCACAGAGAAACACACACACGCACTAATAATGTCTACTACAGTTGTTGTGAATGTTTTTGTGAACTTGCTGCCCTTTAAAGTGAAAAAAAAAAATCAGGCCGTTTGAAGCAGCTGATGGGCCTTTTGTAATTTATTCTTTCTTTTCCTCTCTTTCCTCTGTTTTTCTGGGCTCTTTTTTTCTTCTTCCTCCCTCCATTCTCCCCATCAGACCCTCGTCAGTCCCAGTCCTCTCCTCCCTGGTCGTATGAACAGACGTACCCGTCCTACCTGAGTCCCATGGCGTCCCCCTCAGTCCACTCCACCACCCCCCTCTCCTCCAGCCGAGGCACGGGCCTGCCTGCCATCAGTGACGTGCCTCGACGATTGCCAGGTAGAACAACTCGCTCAGCCGATCCAGATGAAACACTGAAAGACACAAACTCATGAACGCGAGGAGCGGGGACACGCAGTCCGACCGTTTCCTCCAGGAGCGGTTTGGATGGCGTGGATGACAGTGTAGGAAAAACGATTGTTTCCTTTTTTCCTCGCTCTAAGCCTTTGATCCCAGAGGACTATGGGTAATAACAGGCCCAGGGATAATAACAGGCTCGTGACTGACAAATAAAGTGTCTTTATAGCAATAGGCCGCTCACACAAGGAATTCTGGGTAATTGCATTAGCCAGTCTGTTTGCCATAACGGCAGCATCTGTGTTCCAATTTGTCTCTGTTTCCCCCTCCCCGATGTGAAAGCTCCTTTAAACTCCCAACTCGCCGCCAGACAAGTTTCTCCCCCGTACACCTGTTTGACTCGCTGCCATGAGTTTTTTTTTTTTTTATCCTCTACCTGCTTTTTTTCCCTCCTGTTTTCCTGTGCTGCACCCTCCTCTGTGTGTGTGTAACTGTGTGTACGTGTGTGCCCCGAGCAGGGGTGAGTGATTACGCTTCGCGGGCCGTGTGACTCTGCATTAGAAAGGGTTTAAAATCCAGCCAGCTGCCTTGTCAGCTTTGATTAGTTTGGTCTTCCCCCTCCAGCTTTCATCTCCCGAGCGTCAGGCTTTGTTCTCCCGGTGACACACGTACATGTGCGAGCACGCTCACGAGCGTAAACACAGGCCCGAACGTGCTCGCCTCCCGCTCTTTCGCCCACATGCACACCTTGAGCGTTTAATGCCTCTTAAGTGATGTGACTAAGGCTCTCAGATCTCTGGAGATCATGTTGACACCTCGCCAGACTTCGCTGTAACAGTATCCAGCCGCAGAACATACCGACAAGTACAAGCAGAAGCTGATATGGATGCTGGAGTGCAAACTCGGCCCCCGTCGCCCCGCGCCCCCTCCGCTTCCTCACACCTTCGTACAAACCGGCTCATGTGTTGAAACGTCGCAGTTGCTAAGAAGCGGTTGCAAAAGTTCATCAGTCAAGTCAAACACCTAATTCGGAAGTGATGCTCCAGAGTTTGTAGGACCCTTCCAAATATTTAGACAGAGTTCCACTCTGGTTTCATTTAAACTAATAAAGCTGGATCTGGCTCATCATCACAGGGCCCCTTTGAGAGCTAAAATAGGTCCAAATGTTAAAAGCAGGAGTCAGGAGTTTATTGAACAGCGCCGGTCATGTCTGAGATCACACTGCTCCTCCACAGCGGAGACAATCACCTACTATTTCTATTAGAGTCAAACGGATCTTGTGGAAAGAGGAAGTTTAAAGGCTTTAATTGGCAGCATATGCTATCTGACGCTAGCGACGATCCGGCTTCGCAATTCCTCCCTACGCATAAACACTGCGTTTCCCCCCCCTCTCCTCTTCCCCGCCACCCCCTGTCCTCTCACAGCAGACATGGTGACACGGAAGACGCCTGGTGATTTATGATAAGAGCGCCATGGCTGGACTAAACCACTGAGAGGAGACAGGAGGGGAGGGGAGAGGAGGAGAGGAGGGGGGAGACCTCCTATTCTCCTTAAACTCTGCGCCCAGCGCAAAGCTCGCCGCAGCCAGTTAGTGGTTTCTGGGTATTTTTTAAGGGATGAAGCGAAGAGAGGAGCGGAGGGTGAGATGGAGCAGCTCCTTCTCGGCGCTCTCTCTCTCTCTCACTCACTCGGCCGGGGCGCGCGCACACTGGGACACACACGTACACACACACGCTGGAGCCGATGGGAGGCGAGGAGAGGAGCCACATCAGAGCTCAGCCCTGCCTCATTATGGATCTCATGGAAACTGTTTCTGCTCAAAGTGTTTCCACATGTGCAGCTCCTGATTCATCCCAACTGCTTTTTTATGTGCATACAGTATTCACACACATACACCCACCCACACGTCGTATGCGCACACATATTCATAAACAGTTATATACAGATACACATGAACGCGGGCCAACACACACACACGCAGAAACATAAATATGCAGAGGCGTAAACATATTGCTGTATGGGACTTTGCTGATGTGTTTGTTAACTTTATCAAACCCGAAGTGAAAAACAGCTCTGAATGGAGTTGATGGATATAACAATATTTACAGAATAATGTCGCTGCATGTCTGCGCCCACAATAACCCCTCAGCTAAAGCCTGCTCCTAATGAGCTAACACACATATCTGGCTTCGAAAACGTTTGATTACATACAATTTGGTTTACTACTGTTTCGTCTCTCAGGGGACGTATTTGTTTAATTCAATTACAGAGCGCAAGAGGGTTTTTAAGAGTCTAAATAAAACGACATTTCCTAGAAGCAGGACGCAGAAGGGTTAAGAGGAAGGAAGGAAGCTCGATTCCTGGAGGTCGTTTTTGTTTTTAAATGTTTAAAAGAAGCACTTAAATTGGCTTTTTCACATCGAGACTGTTTGACTTTGTCAGGAACTTCTATTTCAACAAAATTAAATTGACTAACTTATAAAATGCTCTTATTAAGATTATGGCACTTGTCATGTTAGAGTCGCTGTTGACACGGTTGGATCAATCTAATAATCAGAGCAAAAACGGAAATCATAAGTGCACCGTCAGGAACCACACTGACAGTCAGATCCTCTTCCAATCATGTGAGATTTAGTAAATTCTCATTTTGACATGTTTTTCCCTGCACAAAAAATAACGTCAGGCATGTCCTGACATTAGGCCTGGGCAGTTTGGCAAAAAAAATGATCACGATATATTTTTTCATATCGACGGATCTCGATTATTATCACAATTTGTTGTTAAACTGCCAGTTTTAAAGCATCTGTGCTAAAAACTGAAGAAACTAGAGATTAGTTCAACATTTTATTAAGCAGATCTGTTGTGTTAACGGTTTTTGAGGGTAACGACCGCCGACATACCTCACACATCGGCGTAATTTCTCGACGTCACTTTGGAGATACCCGAACTGCTGCACAACCGACGTTAAATAATTTTCGTTCTCAACAATAACATCTTCAGAGGATGACGTTTAGCGTTTAGCTTCACATTCGGTCATTCTGTTTACTTCTGTGGCAACTTACAGAAGCGAGCAGGAAAAGCTCGACTCTGATTGGCTGTTGTGACACACGTTTCCGCCATGATTGATCACATAAATATGCTCACAGATGATCACCGTGATCGAACTGAAATTTATCACGATCATATGATCGCCCAGTCCTACCAGACATGTGAGATCAGTTCAGTATAGATGTCTGTCAGGGGTATACAAAACTACAAAACTATTATAATCAATATTTTTATGGATAATGAAGCCTAATAAGGTAACCTAGAGATGAGAACCAACTTGGATGATAGAGAATTGTTTTTAGTGTGATTTACAGCTGATTTGAGACACGGGTCAAAACTGACCCTTAACATAGTGGGTGTGTAGTAAAAGCTAACACAGAAGGAAGGTTATAGAAGTTTATGTTTCTATGTTTCTGTGTCCGTAGGTTCGTCAGATCTGAGTCCTTTCCCGGGTCAGTTCGAGCGTCAGTTCCCGGGACTCTCCTCCCTCACAGAGACTCGCTTCTCCAGCCCCCGCATGCACTACCCGGCCACCTTCACCTACACCCCGCCCGTCACCTCCGCCATGTCGCTCGGCAGCGCCCACTACCACACCTACCTTCCGCCTCCATACCCGGGCTCCACCCAGAGCCAGAGCGGACCCTTCCAGACCAGCAGCACGCCCTATCTCTACTACGGCGCCTCGTCCGGCTCGTACCAATTCTCCATGGTTCCCGGCGGGGACCGTTCGCCATCCCGGATGATCCCGCCTTGCACTAGCGCCTCCACGGGCACCTCTCTGGTGAACCCCAACCTGCCCAGCCAGACGGAGGGTGGGGTGGACGGGGACGGAAGCCACAGTAACTCCCCGACTGTTCTCAACCCTGGAGGCCGCATGGATGAAGCAGTCTGGAGGCCATATTGAAGAAGAAGACACGCGGGCGGAGACTAGATGTCATGGTTTGAAAGCACAAAACCTTTTTTTTTTAAATAAATGAAAGGGGATTTTTGAGCTCTCATCAGCTATCTCTACCTTTTGTTGGAAATTAAGGTTGAGATGATAATCAAAAAAAAAATTTTTTTAAATGTCGGGACTCGTTCGGACTTGTCTTCCTGGAATGCGTTTTGACCAAAGGCACTACAAAGGGAGCGATTCTCACAGCAATAATGAGAGACACTTTTTCTAGGCTCGCGTGGATGACGAGACATTATTTCATTTTACTTTTAATCCACAAGCTAAGGGATGCTTCAACAATATTTGTAAAAGACTGCCTCTTTTGTATAGTGTTTGTATTTCCATAAGGCTTCTTTTTTTTGTTTTTTTTTGCAGAGCATGTCTTTTGTTTTTTTTTACCACGACAATATCAAGATGCAAGTTAGGCACTGAGTAGCAAGCGATGAGAGTAACACATATGTTACTGTTAGTGGTACGGACAGTAAATTTGCTTTGAACCAATTAATTTAACTTGTATATTGTGGGTTGAGACGTCTCCGTAGAACGAGGCGTTTTCTTCGTTTTAACTTATAAAGCCATAAATTATGTATTGTATTTGAAACTTGAGTCAAAGAAGTGTAATCTGAATATTTTTGATGCATCTATAAGTTAAAATGATTTCTGTTTTTTTTTTTTTTAGTTAATTTAAGAGAGTGAGAGGTTTTAATTTCTTTTTTTTTTTTATTTTGTTGTTGTACCCAAAGATTGAAATGGTTTCGAATATGAAATGTAATTTCCAAAGAGTATTGCAACATGTTTCTTCTGGTGTAACTTTCAGTTTAACTGCTCTGCACGTTAAGAGCTCAACATCCTCGCTAGGCGTTGACACACATTTGGCTGGGAATTAAACCTTTGGTATTTATTGAGCAATAACCCGTATTGTGCCTCTTGGCAACATACCATGAAAGAGAGCTTCATTGGGGGAAAATAATTATCCGTCAGGGAAATTCTGCTTGATTTTTTTTTTTCTCAGTTTGTCTCGTCTGACATGCACACAGATACATTTGTCTTTTTTTTTTTTACTCCAAATTGAGAAAACGTACATTTATACACGATCTGACACGCAGCCCCGAAGATTATCAAGACGGAGCCACGCCTATTTGTGCTCCGAGCACACTCCAGCGCAGCAGGTCAGACTTCAGGGTTCGGTTATTTTATAACTCATGAGCTCCTGGGGCCTGAAATGATCCTTGGATGATCTTAAATCCCACAGATTCTTCATATCTTGCGCATCTTTAATACCCGGTCTGTCTGAATGCTCTGTCTGGATTATAGGGGAAAAAATGCCAAGGCTTTCATGACTTTCATATCATGTGCAAAAAAAAGAGATAGCTTTGAAAAAGTGTGTCTTTGTGTCTGACACACACGGGTACTTTGGTTTGTTTGCATTTTCTCTTTCAGTCTCAAAGATTGGAAAGGAAACATCACAGTTAAAGACAAAACAGACTGTGACATTCCTTCAGACATTTATTTATTTTCCATTTTTGGCTCTTGTTGACATGCTTTTCCAAATAGATTTGTATCATCTTCTTTTCAGTGTTACGGTCTAAAATGGTTCTGTGGCACCAGTGTGGCGGGGAGGTCTGATATTTTGATGTGAGAAGTGTCAGAGGAGAAGGAAAATAAGTGCAAAAAAAAGCGAGGTGATTGGATGCAGCTGCTGGCAGCAAAACTGGTAACTGGTTAAAAAAAAAAAATGGGAGACTTGTGTATGTTTGTTTCATAAAGCACTTATTTCTTGTTTTATTTCTAGCAGCACTTGCGGCTGGCTGCCAGCAGGGCTCGTGGTTTTGGTCCTCAGCGTGGATATAACGCCGCTGAAGTCTCACACTCACACATGCACACGCAGAATGGATAACACTTGGCCAAACAAGCCGTTTTCATTGGAGTTGAATCTGATCTCACAAGGCAGTTGGTATTTGTTTAAAAAAAGCATTTTTCGTACAATATGATATTCGGTGCATGTAGGTAATATAATAACTCAATTTGAAAAAGCTGAGAAAAACACGGTCCTGTCCAAGGATCAGACTTCAGGCTTTCATTGAAGGTTTGCACGCAGTGCCTCTTACCCCCGTTTCTGCAGAGGATGTTCTGAACTGGCCTAATAGAAGTGAACATGTCGCACTATATTTCCTCGACGGCTTCAGCCCACACAAAAAGTCTTGATGCTGTTACAGAGAAAGAACAGAGTAAACAAACCCCTTTGGATTATTGTGATTTTTAAAGCTTTCTTCCAGTTACAGATTTATGAAATGTGTCCACAGTAACTATGCACATCTGTTGGACTTAATTTAATCTGCTTCTTTCTTTCTTTGTTTCTTTCTTTCTTTCTAACTTCAAACAGGAAATGGTCCTTTAAAAACTGTTTACACATCAACGCAGCACTGACATCCCATCCTGTCTTCCTCTGCTTTTGTTTGTGTTGTGTTTTATTTTTCTCAAGGAAGAATAAGGTTCAACCTTTTTTCCTTTAGCTTTGTTAAATGTTGCTGTCATCCAAAAAAAACCTTGTATTATTATTTAATGATCCACATGTATCATACCCAGGAGCTGTACCTGACCCCGCTCTCATGTAAAGTTTACTTCTTGTGTCTATTTTTATTCTTTTTCTCTCATGAAAACTTGTCAGGAAATCGAATCTAATGGAGCTTCTGTTAGATTTTGCTGGTACGTTTCATTAAAATCTTTTTTTTTTTTTTCTCAAAGGGACACACAGACCTGACAACAGTGAGTGAAATTGGCATTGTGATTGTACATTTGTCTATTTTAAGAATAAAATAGGAATTTTGTAACTTAATTTCACGCCTCAGCTCCTCTTTCAACTGTTTAAGTTCAATCTAAAAAGGCAGTTTGATTTAAAAAAAGTTTTTTTGTGTGTATTTTAAATTGTTGCATACATGGATTGTTTTAAAGCTCCTGTAAGGACATTTTTGCCTGCGATGAAACTGACTGAGTTTAATTCTGATGTTTCTTAAGTTCTTTAGATGTCTAAATTTAGACAAAGTCAAAATCTGGGCTATATCTACGTATACTACGCTGTATGTAGCTCAACGGCTATCATAATTATTTTGGTTAAGTACTTGAAGATCAGTTATGCAATAATGGGTTAAAAGTGCAACGTCTAAATTCTGTCTATCAATATACAGAATCTAGATGGTTGAAATTCAGCTTAAAAATATCTAGACGTCTAATAGCTGTCTTTTGCCCAGTGGGTGGCAGCTATTGGAAGTCTAGTTTTCTAGACACAATTTCAACCGTCAAGATTCTGTATATTTTTAGATGGGATTTAGACGTTGCACTTTACAGTTGAGCAATATACAGTTAGACCTCTGTTAGCCGGCTAGTCTAAACTTGGTCTAAATTTAGACGCCAAAAAAACGTTAATTTTTAGACCTGTGGTAGCCTGATTTTAGACCAGTCGTCTAGATTACATTTAGACGTCTTTTAGACCAAAAAATCATTGATAGCATGTTGCTGAAAAAAACACTTTTTTTTTTTCTTTTTCACACAATGAATGAAATATTGATGAATATGAAAAGAAAACAGAATAATATCTGCAAAAAAGTGTTTGTCAGTAGGGGGCACCAAACTCAACGTAAACACAAAGTTCCCTACAGGAGCTTTAATTGTCTGCTGGTTTACTGTTTGAAAAAATGGGTCGTGAATGTAAATAGGGTGTCAGTTTGAGACTTGAAAAGGATTCCAAAAAAGTCTGTGTGGACTCTTACACACAATGAGCACTGACTTTATTGCATGTGTAGTTGTATGTTTTCTGATAACTTGGAAAGAGAATTGTGCTCTAAAGATTTGAAGCAGGATAACTGAGCCTTTTTGTACAAGTTTTTTATTTGTAAAGGATTATGTATCAGTCTCGAGCTCATCAATCATTTTCCCCTCAGATTTTCCCCGAATCTCCATGTAAATATAAATTCCACCTTCCCCGCTATTCCAGCTCACTGATTCTCCACAAACATTCAGCTGTGTCATCACGTCTTAAATCCTGTCTTAAAACAGTTAACAAGTACATCCCCACACTCTTTTTTTTTTTTTTTTTTTTTAAATGTAGGAAGCACATCTAAGGGTGTCATCTCTGGTCTGCCGCTCAGTCTGCACCAACATTGTCTTTGGATGGGGACGAAGGCGGACGCTCAGCCAGAGAACTACTGCCACCGCCACTGCCATGGCTTCATTTCAAAGGTACACGGAGAAACCAGAGAGAGAGAGAGACGGAGACAGGAACAGAGACAGGGAGAAGCAGGGGAGAAGCTGTTTTACATTATTCCGAGACATAATAGAGCCAATCTAAGTGTGCGCGCAGAAACACACAGAGAGAGGAGAGGAGAGGAGGAGAGGAGTGGAGAGAGGGCGAGCTACAACATCCCATGTGTTTTCTTAAAGTTCAGATTGGGAACGTTCTTGGGATTTCCCTGAATATAGATTGCATGGAAAAAAAAAAAAAAAAGCTCCTGCTGGTTTCAGGTTCACATTCGCAGCATTCTCAGCCATGTCTAGCAATTATAATAATGAACTCAAACGGGACCCAGACACCCAGAGAAATTAGCATAATGTCCCGCATGCACGAGAGAGACAGACTCATTTAAAAGAGGGGATGGTATGGAGGTTTTGTCCCTGTTCTAATCTGGTGGCTGAACACGATGATGTGCTTTTGATTCCTGTGCAGCAGCAGAGAAGAGGTGCTCTTTATTTCCCTGTTATGCAATCAACACAGAGGGACAAAACGAGGAGTTTATGAGGAGACAAAACTACTTTATTTAGGGGCTTTTTGCACATGCACTCTCACCAACACACAGCTGACAGCCAGATTCGAATGTTTACTTGACCTCTGCGAGCGTTTTAGAGGAAAAGCTCAGGCTGGATGGGAACCTCGGGGGTCTCATACTGCTCAGAGTTGTAAATCTCCAAGTATCCAT